ATCTGGGGCGATGAAAGCGAACCCCCGGCCAAATACATTCCCATGGGTGCCCGATTGTTCAGACTGGCGAGCGAAAGACATGTCTTGGGCGAAGCTTTTCCCCCTCGACTAGCGCTCCGAGGTCTCTCGCCAAGACGCTGCCGCGTGGGGATATGTTGCTGAGCACAGGGAATGGTGTCTAGACGGTGGGATTGGGGCATGACACGCAGGTTTCTGGAGCATCGACCGCCGGTCAGGCTTGGGGTTGGAGCACGACGGCGGCATGAAGAACATGTGCAAGGCACCCCCACGGATCGGCATGGGGCAGCTCAACCTTTCCCCGGTATGCAGATGACGTCCTAGGGGCGACCTCAGCGTGATGGCCGAATTGGCCAAGCCGGGGCACAGTAAGATCAACTCATTGTGATAGGTGCTGTAAGAGGAATGATGGGTGGGAATGGGAAAAAGCAAATACATTATTGCAGCTGGCAGTGAATGTGACTTGGCTTCGGTTACAGGCTCCGTCCGGTTGTCCATGCCAAATGCTCGCGTCAGATCAGGAGTGCACGCCGTTTGCGGTGCCGTCCACATCACCCGGATCAGTCGGTTCGCAGACGACGCGACGACCTTGGTTCTCGATGCGGGTGACGGCGAAGAGGAGTAATCGCGGCAACGATACGGCGTAGGTCAAGCTTGTCCTGGGAGGCTCAGCTTGGCGAGAGGCCGGTCGCCGAATCGTCTGCGCGTGATGGCCTCTCTCGGGGGATGGCCCACCGACGCGGTCTCGAACGTGGTGGTCCAGGGAGTGTTCGTCTCCCAAGGGGTTGAATCACCAGCGACGACCATCGTTGGAAACAAGCATTCTCGCTGAGACAGACACATGCGGGCCCCAGTAGGCACGAGCCGGGACGTACGATGCCTCCGTGCCAGCCACACGGGCAGTGCAGGCCATTCACCGAGTTCCGGTGAACTAAGTTATCGTGTAGCCGTACTAAGCCAGAAAAGTCCCAACGACATGACATGGAGCGGACTCTGCCGTATCGGCACAAAGACGTACCGTGAACTTTGAAGTGCGCACTGCGCAGGATGCACGCGGACACCCGCTAGCAAGGTTGGTTGGTAATCACCCTACCTCGTCGCCAAGTGCGTCACCCATGTAGGCGAGACACCGTTTGTACGTATGTACAGTGTATACAGCGAGAGGCGAGTAGGCGGAGGAACTCGCGGAGCGTGTCGTTGACTCGTTGCCCTGGGCCCTCCAGTACTTAGAACTCGGGAGGAGAAGCACTGCGAGGTGATGTTGTCTAGCCCCCCATTTACGTGCCGCATTTGCTGATAACGCTTAGGATATCCGCCAGTGTCGAAATGGACAAGGTATTACTCCGCGGTATGGTTCGGAGTCAGGACTGATATTGCTGCTAACGCAGCACTGCCACACGGTGAGAGGCTGAGGCTGAGCGCCCAAGGCGGGGCTCACGTGATACACCACACTGGTGCCGTGACTCGTGAGGTCGCAGCGGACTCGATCATTTCCATAGCCCGTAACGACCGCCCGCCCATCCGCACCCAGAGACGCGAAGCCCATCCATACGTGCCTCACGAAGTCGCATTCTTCCTCGCTCGACGAACGCCTCTCCATCTGCGGTACAAATAAAATACATCCAACGACGCGTTGTGGCCAGCTACCGGTCAGAGGCGCAGAATAACCCGGTGGGCGAGGAAGCGGGAACGGGTTCAGAAAGATGGCCTCGGAAACGCCAATCTCCACGTGCGTGTCATTGCACTCCCGACACGCAGCGTGCGACCTGGCTGACACGTCATAGTGTCTACGTGCAGAATCTAGAGGAGAGGGTCAAGATCGAGACATTGACCGAGGCGTTAACAGCCATCTTCTCCGAGTTTGGTTCCGTGGTCGACGTTGTGGCCAAGAAGAACCTCAACGCAAAAGGGCAAGCCTTCGTTGTCTTCGACCATCCGGATCATGCCGCCACTGCCATTGATGAGGTCCAGGGTTTTGAGCTGTTCGGAAAGCCCATGAGGCTCTCAATGGCGCGGACAAGGAGCGACAAAACCGTCGAGATGAAGAGTGACGCCAACACGTACGAGGCACACAAGCGGCATCGTCAGGCCGAAAAGGGTAAAAGAGTCCGATGCCGATCGCATTGCGGAGCCTCCATGCTAAATGACAACACAGACAAGCGTAGGGCTCTCGAGGCTGCCGACGGCCAAAGGCAGGCGAAGCGAGGAGCTGCCGCCACGCAAGAGACCCACGCCTCTCGGCTTGCCAAGCCCACGGGCTTAAAGTCGACTGGACCGAGCGCAACCAATGCAGTCCCCGACGAATATCTCCCACCGAACAAGACTCTCTTCTTGCAAAACGTCCCCGACGAGTATGACGTCGAGGCGCTGACGGCTGTTTTTGGCCGATTTGAGGGCTTGCGGGAGATTCGGCTTGTACCCGGCCGAAAGGGAATTGCTTTTGTCGAGTACCAAGGCGAACAGGGCGCAATCGCAGCCAAGGAGAACACAGCAGGAATGACACTGGGCGACAAGACGGTCAAGGTTACGTATCAACGACAGTAGCGACGCGTGGTTGTTCCCACCCCCCCTGACGGACGGCTTGCGAGCATCGGGGACGAGTGCACATGTAGGCCGAGTCAGCGTAGCCGGCACCGAATGAACAACGTAGGCTACTGATGCATTGTCCGGCCTGCAAGAATGTTTGTAACAAGGTGCCACTCCACCGGCCTTGAACACGATGGGCAGATAGTTCCAACCTAGGGGCAAGAGAGAGCACTTAGAAAATGACGTCTTCGTCATCATCTGCTGCTAACAAATCGTTGGTGTGTGCTGTGTCATCAGCAGGCGCCTGGCCTTTCGAAGATGCTGCCTCCCGCCTCGCCTTCATCTCCGCATCTGCTGCAGCAGTATCCCGCTGCTTTTTGTTCGCGACCTATGTCGCGCTCGCCGGTTAGCTAACCAATACCATCCGAAGATCGAGGTACTTCCTGCACTTGCCTTTTTCAGTCTGTAGAATTCCTCGCGGTCAAGCTCGTCCAGCTCCGAATTGATGTATTTGATGGTGTTCTCGGTGCGTGGTATGATGACGTGCTCAATCGCATTGACTAGCCGCGGTTAGTGAACCCCAGTACACTCGTGGTGGTGAGAAACGGCGAACCTCGTCTGTTGACTACTTTGATCACTTCGTCAAGTATGACGAAAGCAGTCTGCAAGCTAGCGAGCTCCACGAGAGCTTCGACGGCACGCGCATACGTCTCCCTGCAGCGTTGAACCTGTTGCCCGCCCTTGCCTAAGCCAGTCAGGCCGAAGTCGTTGCTACCGTCGGCCAAGTAGCTCTCATATGCAGGAAGAAGGACGCCAGAGACGTTGTCTTGCTTTGTTCGAATCCGGAACCGTGCGGACTTGGCCGACTCTTGCACTTGGTATCCGATGTCTCCTCCTACCGCATACGTGACCTCGGCCAGAGAGAAGGCCGCGATCTGCATCACGCGGCCCATTTTCCGTTTCGCCTCGTCGATGCGCCTCGTGATCTCTGTCGCAATTCGATATCAGTCATGGTGATCAGGGAGCACCACGTGTGGGATGGTCATCAAGCCATACCTCGGAAACGCCTGTCCGAAGCATATTTGGTCAGCTCGTCATGCACTTCAGCCCAATGGTATGCTCCTACTTTGTGAGTGCCTCGCTCTTCCGCTTCAGAAGGCTGTGGCCCGTTTCTGCCCCCTTGAGCTTCGCCTTCATGAGGCCCAGCGACTGCCGGGTTGGGAAGACGGCCTCGCGATCCTGATTTTGAGATCAGCCTATGGAACAGCCCGATGGAGGAGCCCGGCGAAAGTGCTACGTACGGCAGCACCAGACATGGCGGCGGTGGTGTGAGGTTTCGCGGAGCCGAGAAGCACGAGCAATCGGCTTTGTGCGCGAGCTTGACGGCTGTAGGCGATGTTTGGGGAGTGTCGAGGTCTGGGATCGTTATTCGCGGGGCGTGAAGTTGGTCATAGCTACAAAGTACCGGCCACCAGGTGGTTGTGCTTGGATGGATGGGACTTATGGAAGCGTCCAGCGGGGTAGCACCTTGGGCCTATCAGGTACCTTAACTGCCCACTGGGCAGGTACTGCACTGGCAGGCAGTAGCTCCCGCCTCAGCACCGGTGCTTCGCCGTGAATGCCCCTACGTAGGTACCAATATTTATCTACCTAGGTACTTAGTAGTACCTATCTCCTAGGTACCTTAGGTACCGAGGTAGGCAAGGCAGCAGTAGTTCCCCACGACGTGGGGTGAGCTAGATACCTAAGCAGGTACCTAGCAGGTAGTACGTAGTACTGTAGAGCACAGGTACCCTATCATCCACTAAAGGATGGTATGGGTCCGCTACAACGAATAACCCGATAAGTGAATAGAGCCAAACCCAGATGCGCCGGTGCTCTCGACGACGCACAACACCCTTCACATTGTACAGAGCACTGTACAGGCTTATCACATCGCGTCCCCACGAGCCTTCGACATTGGCCACGACTGCAGTCAAGGTAATTCGGTGCGGCATAACTCTGGACCAACCCGTCTCAGAATTATCCACTCACGCAGGCAAGAGTCGAGCGGCAGCGACGCATTTAGACTGGCCGGTCGTGCCTCCAGCCTCGAAGAAACCTCTCGAACCACATACGCGCGCTCCAGCTGTTGAGGAGAGCCATCATAACGATTCTTGCGCGCCTTCTGCATCATTTCTCCAAAGGTGTTTCTCTGCGGCCTCAGCCGCTGCAGCCTTCACAGCTGCCATGGCTGCCGCGGCGAAAGCTAGTAGCAGGCATACGCGACTGGATCTCCACGTCGTTGTACGTCACGCGCGCCCCAATGTGGCTCATGACTGGACAAGCTAACGCCCGAGTTGGGTAGGCGGACGAGGACTCGGTCTACGAACAAGATGTTCTCCGCGACATATCTAGCGTCCGACCATGGCTCGCGTACATCGGCTTCAAGATTCGGGACGGCAACCTACAAGAGCAAAATTTCGTCATGGCACGAGCATGTGCCCAGTTGCCGCGGTCATACAAACTCTGGAAACTCGTAAGGGCCTTGCTTGTTGCACCTGTTACTGTCACGGCTAACATCCCTAGTTTCTCAACTTCAGAGTAAAGCACGTGGCCGAGCTTAACCCAACAACGTTCGCAACAGAATACAAGAAAGTCAACGTACTCTTCGAGCGAGCATTGACGCTGCTACATAAGATGCCAAGGATTTGGGAAATGTATCTGCAGTTTCTGATGCAGCAGCCAGTCGTTACGCTGACTCGCCGAACTTTCGACCGAGCTCTCAGGGCCCTCCCGATCACGCAGCACAATCGCATATGGGCCTTGTACCTCTCATTCGCCAACGCCGCCTCGGGTGAAACAGCTGTCAAAGTATGGCGACGATATATGCAGGTTCATCCGGAAGACGCCGAAGACTTCATTGAGCTGCTTATCAGTGCCGGAGCCTACACGGAAGCTGGGAAGCGATATGTCGATCTTCTCAATAATGTCCGATTTTCGAGCAAGAATGGCAAGGGCCACTATGAGCTCTGGGGTGAGATGGTGGACATGCTTGTTGAGCATGCCTCGGAGATCGACGTCGAACACGAAACCGGACTGGACGTGGAGCGAATTATCAGGAGCGGTATAGCCCGATTTGCTGATCAGCGAGGCAGACTCTGGGCCGGGTTGGCCACCTACTGCATTCGCCGAGGTAGCTTTGAACGAGCGCGAGACGTCTTTGAGGAGGGCATTACGACGGTGATGACCGTGCGAGATTTTACTCTCATCTTCGATTCCTATGTCGAATTCGAGGAATCCGTTATTGGAACACTGATGGAGCTTGCGTCAACACGCGCTGAACAGGGCGTGGTAGACGAGACCGCGGACTTTGAGCTCGATGTTCGGATGCTGCGGTTTGAGCACCTCATGGACCGTCGCCCATTCCTTCTCAATGACGTCCTCCTGCGTCAGAACCCACACAATGTCGCCGAGTGGGAGAAAAGAGTCGCTCTCTGGGGTGGAAACAAAGCAGAGGTCGTTCAGACTTACACCGACGCCATATCCTCCATCAACCCCAAGCGGGCCGTGGGCTCCTTCCACCAGCTTTGGGCCAACTACGCAAAGTTCTACGAACGCGGCGGAGATATCCGAAACGCGCGCATCATTATGGAGAAGGCTGTCAAGGTACCGTTCAAGTCGGTTGCCGAACTGGCCGACATGTGGATCGAGTGGGCGGAAATGGAGCTTCGCAACGAGAACTTTGACGATGCGATCCGTATTATGACCAAGGCTGTGCAGGCTCCCAAGAGGTCAACAGTCGACTACTTTGACGAGACTCTGACGCCACAACAGCGCGTTCACAAGAGTTGGAAGCTCTGGAGTTTTTACGTGGATCTTGTGGAAAGCGTTTCCACGCTGAGTGAGGTGCAAAAGGTTTACGAAAGGATTTTCGAGCTTCGCATCGCAACGCCGCAGACAGTTGTCAACTACGCCAATTTGTTGGAGGAGCACCATTACTACGAGGAATCGTTCAAAGTTTACGAACGAGGCCTGGACCTGTTCAGCTACCCGGTAGCTTTTGAGCTGTGGAACCTGTATCTGACGAAGGCGGTCGACCGTAAGATCGGCATTGAGCGACTGAGAGATCTTTTCGAGCAAGCTGTGGAGGACTGCCCTCCAAAGTTTGCCAAGACGATCTATCTCATGTACGGCAATCTTGAGGAAGAGCGAGGCCTTGCCCGGCACGCGATGCGGATCTACGAGAGAGCAACGCGAGCGGTCGCAGATGAAGATCGTGCGGACATGTTCAACTTTTACATCACGAAGTCAGCCTCCAACTTTGGCCTACCATCAACGCGACCGATATACGAAAGGGCCATCACAGCACTCCCAGATGCAGAGGCGAAGGACATGTGCCTCAAGTTTGCGGATATGGAGAAGCGCCTGGGTGAGATCGACAGAGCCCGGGCCATCTACGGCCACGCATCTCAGTTTTGCGACCCTCGGACGAACGCAGACTTCTGGGCGAAGTGGGAGCAGTTCGAGGTACAGCATGGTAACGAGGACACTTTCAAAGAAATGCTGCGGATCAAGAGGAGCGTCCAGGCCCAATACAATACTGATGTCAATTTCATTGCATCACAGGCGCTGGCGCGCAGCCAACAGAAGGCCGACGCCAGTCCCGAGGACGAGGCGTCAGACGCTATGGCAGCCCTTGGGAGACAGGCCGCAGCACCGGAGGGATTCGTGGCTGCAAGTTCGGCTCCGCAGAAAGCCAGCCATGGTGGAGGCGACGTTGCTCGTGTCTCAAACCCAGAGGCAATCGACATCGATGGTCTCGAGGACTAGCCATTTGTTGCCCTTCGCACTGACCACCGACGACCCTCGACAGGATCCTTGGCTCGATGTGGGCGCGACACGTCACGATCTGTTAGACATGCCAGAGGCCGGATCACAGGATCGGTTGTGGAAGAGACGCACTGGGAGTCGTATAAGACAATAAGGTATACAAGTTAAGACGATTTACCATGATCAATTTCTTCAGAAAGCCAGGCATACCGCGTGTGCTGCCTCCCACGGCGTCTTTGTCTGTTCGTCCGTCTGTTCGTCTTGTCTGTTTGTCGGTCACCCATACCGGCCGTGCTCAAGACGGTCACTTGCCGCCTTTCATCTCAGCAATCTTTGCGTGGTATTTCTCCGCATAGTTTCTGTCTATGTGGCCGTCGCGAGAGTTGGGAGTGGCATATATGGACCCCTTGCGCTTCTGGAAGCGGCTGGGGGGGACCTTGGACGCATCTGTGCTCGTAGTCAGTTACGCGGAGAAAAGGGGCATTCTGCGCGGCGAGCACGAACCCCATTCGTCGCTCATTCGGCGGTCTTGCTTGGAGGAGCCAGAAACGGGTGACTCGTTCATGACTAGGGGTGCATCTGCGGCGGCAGTCTGGTGCTGCTCTGGCGGCGGCGGCGGCTGCTGCTGCTGCTGCTGTTCCGTTCCTGGGGCCATGACGGGCGCGGTATACTGCAGCGTTGGGGAGGATAGCACTGAAGGAGGCACGGGAACTGAGGCGACCTCACGGCAAATGGCCAGGGGTTTGGAGGAATTGAAGGATCACGCAGGGCAGGTGCTAGTTGGAGGTTGCGAGGGCGAGCCCGTGTTAGACAGGGAGAGGCATAGGGTTGCTCGTGCTCGCACCGAGGGGTTTATAGCATGGAGGACGGCGAGCGGAGAGGGGAGGCGGACGGACGGCGCGGGCAGCGTCGTGGCTCATATAAGGTAGTGCCACGGAATGCGGTTTGCCTTGGCCTGGCTGGCCGGATGTACTCGTACCTTGGGGGGGCCTGCCCGGCTTCATGTCGCGACGCAGACGAAGCAGCGCGGCGCGGGCGAGCGAACACCTACACGCAGTACTACCAAGGCACGGTCAGGCAGTCACCAACGTCGAGGTACGAGTACATGAGGTGTAATGTGGCGGGCGGTGGGCTGAGCAGAAAGGGCGTCTGCCCGCCGCGGCCGAGGGAGGGCATCAGACTGATTGGAGCCGGTTTGTTTGGGTTCGAACGTGGATGGCAAGGTTTACCCCGCAGAACGGGCGAGTGGGCGCAGCATCACATCACGGGTTGCCTCTCTGATGGCTGTACAATGTACCGTGTCCCGTCTGGCGCCCCCCGCGCCTTGCCTCCCTTTGGCCTTGTTTCGCCTGGCGCGGGATGGGAGTGGGAGCGGCGGTGGCGGCGGCGGCGGCGGCGGCGGCGGTGTGGTGTGCGTGCCCGCGGTTCGGCCATGCGCTGGCTGCTGCCAGGCGTCTTGTGCAGACTTGCCTACAGGCACGGCACTTCGCACAGCACGCCCGTGCGTGGACGGCGATGACGAGACCCGAAGAGAGACAGAGAGAGAGGCGCGGGGTTGGGGGAAAGGGAAGGTGGGCGCCGCGCACTGCATCCACCTCGGTGATGCAAGTTGGCCGTCGCCTGTTGACGTCATGTGCCGTGGTTCCTGCCATCTGCCATGCACAGTCACAGTCACAACCCAAACGACATGTCGCCGTTGACGTTCATTCTCCCCCCATCATTCGGCCGAATATCCTCGGAGCCCGGGCCTCGATACGCTCCCAGCATTCTTTGTCCTGGTCCATCTACCCAGCACGGCTCGACTTACAAGCTACCTGAGGACCTGTTAAAGCCCTCGCGTTCCTCTCCCGCCAGACCATGTTGGACATTTCAGCCCTGGCGGCTGCCTGCGTTCCCTAGACTATTGCTGGGACGTCGCAACCAAGCCAAGCTCGCCACTGGCCAGATCAGACCCAGGCTAGACGGTCCCCGGCCTGCTGCCCAGCCATCCCGTCTGATCCAGTGCCGGCTTGGGGGCTTGGGGGGCTTCGGAGCATGACATGGTGAACTCCCTCCCGTCCGATCCAACGCATTGCGCGGTGGGGCGTGAGGTGTTCGCACCGGCAGCCGGGGCCGGCCGGGGCCCTCATCCGTGCTGCTTCTGCAGCTCATTCAGCCCTGTGACGCTGGACTGATCCGCAGCACTAAGGCATCGAGAGTGCCTTGTTTTCAGTACTAAAAAGGCGTCTGTCTGTGCATGCGGAAGGTCAGGCGCGAAGCAACCCTACCAAGTATGTACCTACTGCCTAGTACTTAACTTGCTAGGGTGGTACGTGCTTTGGTATGACCATTCGGGGCAGCCTGCCTTTACCTTGCCGTGCCTCGCAAGTCATGTTCCCACTGCTTGCTGCAAAGTGCATACCTACCTAGCACTACAAGTCCCTCTGCGTTTGCCTCCCCGCTGCGCGGGCTTGGCGGGTATGCTGGGTGACTCGGAGGCTCCCCACACCCTGCCCTGCCCTGGCCCAACGGGCGTGGTGGGGCCGCTGGCAAGCATGCGAGGGCTGGGTGCCTACTAATGTACCTACCTCTAGTAATGGTAAGTACCATGTACTTTGCGGCTTTCCATGCCAAGGTACCACCGATGCAGTGCTTATCGCCTGTCCGTATGTGGTCCGAGCTTCGTTCCTAGGTATCTCGTACGAGTAAAGGTACTAACGTACCTACCCTGCATCGAAGAGCCCATTTTCTCGCCGGAGCCGCCATGGCCCATCGGATGGACGACGGCGTGCCTGGTGCATTGAGATAAAAAGTCATCGACTCTGCGTATGTCTTCTGCCGTATCCGCCATGGCCCCGACCTTTGGTCTTTCCTCTGCTGACCCTTCTTGCCTCTAGGCCCCTTCAGCCTCCAGGGAAGCCCTCGTGCGGAACTGTGTCGCGGCCTCGCAGGCTGCTTGCTCCCTTCTGACCACGCAACCACCAATGTGAGCCGGCTCACCAACTGACCTTCACCACAAACCTCATCACAATTCCACGCACAGGGGTCAACCACTCCCCCACAAAGACCCCGTCCGCCAGAACCGGCCCGGGACGGCATGTTTGGCGCGTCTGTTCACTGACAGCACAGTCGCCCGCTTCATGCTCCTCCGCCTGAGCCCCAGTCGGATGGCCTTGAAAAGGAAGCTCGACAGTTTCCTGCGAAACGTGCACTCGCAATCTGCGCCCCCTGCCGCCATGGCACACGCCCGCACAGTACGGCTAAGTGCTCGAGAGGAGCAGCTCCGGGCTCTCCTGCTGGACGTCTGCCGCTCCATCGACGCCGCCGGCGACGTCACGCAACCCATTATCCTTCGATGGGCTGGCGGCTGGGTCCGTGACAAGCTACTCGGCATCGAGAGCCATGACATCGATGTTGCCATCAACGCCATGACTGGCGTCCACTTTGCTCAGCGGATGTGCGACTTCTGCACCCTGCCCGATGCCATCAAGAGGCACGGCATCGGCCCCCGCGACGTTGGGAACCTGCACAACGTTGCTCGCAACCCGGACAAGTCTAAGCATCTCGAGACGGCCATGGTCAAGATATTCGGCCTCGATCTCGATTTTGTCAACCTACGCAGGGAGACATACGCCGACGACAGTCGTAACCCCGCAATGGAGTTTGGTTCGGCCGAGGAGGACGCACTGCGCCGCGACGCCACCATCAACGCCCTCTTCTTCAACCTGCACACTGGCTGCGTCGAAGACTTTACTGGTGGCCTGCCCGACATGGCCGCCCGCATGATCCGCACCCCTCTGGACCCGCTGCAGACATTTACCGATGACCCTCTTCGCGTTCTCCGCCTCGTTCGCTTCGCCAGTCGTTTGCAGTTTTACATCGACCCGGCCACGCAACGTGTCATGGATCACCCCACCGTCCTGCAGGCCCTTAGAGTCAAAATAAGTCGTGAAAGGGTCGGGGTGGAGCTGGAGAAGATGCTCAAAGGTACCTGTCCGCCCCAGGTTGAGGTTCATTTTTGGGCCCAGCCCACCCGTCGGCACGCTCTCCGATCGTGTCACTCTTCTGCTCCCATTCCTACTGAGCTGACGATGCACACAAGGCGCGCATCCCCGAAGAGCCCTAGAGTTGCTGGACGAGCTACATCTTTACCATGCTATCTTCACAGACCCTGCGCGGGAACCGACAGAGCGTCCGGACCTGAGACGATGGCACGTGGCATATGAGTGCCTGGGCTGGCTGCTCGGGAATCGCAGCCCCGGATCCATTGGCACCCTGCTAGCTCAGTCTGAGGAAGCTGTCTATGTGGCTTGGAATCTCGCAGCCGTAAGTCCCTGGATGCCCGTCGAGGAACCACCGGGCGTCAAGAAGAAGGCGAACGCGCTCCCTCCCGTCGCCGTCATTGCCCGCGAAGGCTTCAGGGCGCCGAATAAGCTCACGGACGTCATGGCGGCCAGTCACCGGCACCGCAAGGAGATACTTCAGCTCAAGGAAGCCGTCTGCCATGGGGAGCCCTGGACCCGCCAACGAGATAGATGCGGAATGGCAATTCGCCGATGGGACAGCCAGGGCGGGTTCTGGACCCTGCAGGTGCTCAGCACGCTCCTTGTCGATGCCATGGAGCAAGTCGATTCCTGGCCGATTGTCGCTCATCCGGGTAAGCCCAGCCAACCAGCCGATGTCCCGGAAACCCCACTTTCTTCAGGTGCAAGCAAAAGCAAGAATCTTGATCCGTCCATAGCCAAGCGCGACGACTTTATCACTGGATGGCAGAAGTTTCTCGACCATGTCGTTGAGCTCAATGTCTACAATGCGCCAACCATGAAACGCCTGCTTGATGGACGTGCCCTGGCTCAAGCGCTAGGCGTAAAACCCGGGAAATGGACGGGAAAGGCTCTTGACGTGTGCATGGCCTGGCAGCTGCGTAACCCGGACGAAACTGACCCAAGCAAGGCAATCGAGGAGGTGAGGATGAGACGGGATGAGTTGGGCATTCCACTTGACGGCTAGTGAGACGGGCGCTGCACGCATAGGGAGAGAAGGGAGGGGGTATTTGCCACAAAGACTGACGGCCAATGCTTCTCGCCTTGGGCGTGATAGGGACAGGGCAGCTTCCTGGACTATCCTCTCCGAATGACTCGAGGTGCATTGCGGTAGCTGTTGCTATCCACACAGAGTGCGCCGCACGTCCCGCAAGTGCTTCCCATGGTGACATCGGCCTTGCAAACAAGTTCTCTCGGCTGGTGACATTTTGCAAGCTCCTCATGTCCAATGGTCTGCCCTGTGTGCTTGCATAACCTTGAAGGCGAATCAGTAAATGCTCCTAAACCTCTAAACCGATTGGTTAATCCTTTTCCAAGGCGCGCGGCTCTCGGCGACCCGAAGGAGACATGATACACCCGGTGGTTCCGTGAAGACTGAAGATATCGACACAGTGCAGAAACCATGTGTGAATTAAGTACTCGCACGTACCCGAACACAACGTGTATCTCAACTTCTCAAGTCTCGACATCCTGGGCTGTCGCGCGAACAACACGAATACTCATAGATGCTCAACCAACCCAGCGACAAACTCGACGTGTCGTTGACCAACGCCGTGCACCCAATAATATCTAAAGCCCTGAGCGGTTTGTCTTTTCTTCCTGATAACGAAAGCTTGTCCGCCACGCGTGGTTTGGTGCCGCATTCGACACCGGCTGTTGCCATGACTCGGCGTTTCCTGTGCCGCGGCAACCTCGAGCAATTGGACCTGATTGATGTGGCCCTGGATATCAAGGACTGGATCGATGAACACAGCTCCAACCTCTGGTTCGACCGTGCCGCCGCCAAGTTGCGGGCCGCGCCAGACGGAAAGGTATGTCGTTCAGTGCGAAACCACTCCTCATGAAGCCCCGGTAGCTCGCTCTCATCGACTGTCAGAAAATAGCCCATCTTGCGGAATTGGACAGCCCTGCTGACTTGCAATGCGTCTTGGTGCGCAGAGTCGCCACGACGAAATGCTGAACCTGTACGCCCGCCTCTCCAAGACGCCACTCCTCGGCAGAAGTGGCCCAGCAAACACACAAGAGCTCTGTCAAGCAATTATTGCCGTTGTGCTCCCGCTTGACGGGACAATAGGTATGCCATGGAAAGCCGGCGTTGAAGATGTCTTCCACAGACGAGTCACTCACCCTGTGCCCTCTTTCCAGATATGGCCTCTCGAGGTCCCGCGGCAGAGCTCGCTCTGGCTTGCTTGGCCCTGCTTTCGTCCCCCCTGGATGACGCTGCGCTTATAACTGTCATTGCGTATACCGAAGACAGCGCGCCTTGGACCACCAGTGGGGGGGCGTGTCTTGCGGCTCAACTCGTACAGTCACAGCTGCCCCAAGAAAAACTGGCCGATTTCATCAGCGGACCCCTCCTTCAGAGCTACATTAGGCCAATTATCTCATCAGCGGCAAGCAGTAGGCTCACTGGCTCAGGGAGGCCTGTGCAATTTCACCACAATACCGACGCTTCTCAAAAAGCACGGCTGGATGCGGCGTGGAAGCGTTGCGAGCCCCCAGTGACGACCGTCTTCGGCTGGGCAGTAGAGAAGGCACATGTCCGTCAATCACATTCCCACTGATACATCATCAAGGGTGTATTCGCTTGGGAGAACAGAGGAGAGTCATAGCTAACAAAGGATGCCAACAGCACGATCTTATTGACGAGAAGTGGCCGCTATTCTTACCTGCCCTTCTCGCCTTTACGACGGACCATGATATCACGGTGCGGGAGAGGGGCCTCCAACTTGTGTCCGTCTTTGTGCATAAATGCTCGCCTAAGACCCTTAGGAATACCGGCGTTGGGGATCTTCTGCAGGATGCAATCTTTCCGACTCTCCTGTCCCTCCCAAGCCTTACCCCTGAGCCTGAATCCGCCAAGCTTCTCCGCGCCGCATACCCAGTGCTCATGCAGCTGGCCCAAGCAGACCCAGATCCCGAGCACCCCTTGAGGAGGCGCATCTTGGACAAGGTTTTGAGGGATGGAATATTGGAGGGCTACCATCATGCCTCCGAGCACGTCACCATCGCCGAAATTTTGATGCGCAATGCCGCCGGCATCGTATCCTGCTTGGGTGTCTTCTCTGTACGACATCTTCAGGTAAGTCACTACTTGCAGAGCCGCCTATCCTGCAGAAGCTGACTTTCTCGGCAAATAAGGGTCTGCTTGGTATGGTCGAGTCAACAATGACCGACCCATTCGCAGTGGCCCACCCTCCCACAGTCGAAGCCGCGATCGACCTGTTATGTTCCATCGTGCTGCACTGTTGGCCAAGGCTGTCCGGATCGGCACACGGAAGGCGCGTAATTCGTGCCACATCTGAGTGCTGGTTGAACGTGCAGGATCAAGAGCAGCTAGGGAACGAACCGCTTTCTGCGGGTGACAGAAAGCGACTCCAAGATCGGCTTCGGACCTCGGCAAGGCTGGTTATGGCTTCCCTGGGAGAGCACAAGCCGGAAATGAAGCAAGGCGTATTCGAAGCAGTGCGTAGAGAGCCTCGGCTCACTGCACTCTTTGCGGAGAATGCAAGCGATACGCAACTGGGGGATGAAAGGTGAGATCCGAGTGTCGCAATCCCAGAATGGGGAAACACCTAGTCGAGCGGCTGTTGTTTGAAGAAGGACTTGCCGCGAAGCCATTTACGGTACGCCTTGTATCGCTTCTTGGCACCGTCTCCTTCTGTTACGGTGAGGGGATTCTCGCCGACTCTCAGCAGCTCCGCGTACACATCGACTTCTTCTTCGGTGCCGGCCACCATGAGTCCGTGGTCACGCCAATTGCCGTCGACATATTCTTGGTATTCCGACGAGTCGATGTCGATGGGAGCATCGGTAGAAACCACGAGAGGCAAATTCTGCGGGTGGCGTATATATCGCTCATAGTCTTCAGCTTCTTGGTCTCTCACGAACGGATTGAGAGAGTCGTGGACTGCCTTGGTGAATGTCCACTGCGCAGCCTTCGATTTCTCGAGAGCTGTGGGTTTCGTCTTGCTGCGTTCCACGGACAAAGTGGCCCCGGCGGTCGTTGCTATAGCGTCTGCGTTTGGCATGACGGCTTGGTCCTTATCTTGCAGTGGCTGGAGCCAGCGCTGCAGCGACATGGCCTTGTTCGTCGCTCGGCCCGAAGCGATGGAGGCGGAGTCATCATCACGCGTCGGCAGCTGCGGTGAGCCTGACGGAGTGGTGTACGGCGGATCTCGTCTCGTCTTCTTCTTGTCGGCTTCAGCATCCCCGTCGGTGCGCACACGAAAGGGACTGAGGTCGTATCGACCGTCTTGGGTTGACTTGAGCGGAATGTATTTGATAGTCGAGTTCATTTTGTAAGCGAACATCTTGGGGAACGAAGACAAGGTTGCTGGGCGGTAATACTCGAGCCAGTAGTCGTCGAAAAAGTCAACAGGGTGAGAGGCAATCGGGCCGCGCACTGGCAAGCGTGGGGGAACGGCCCTATCGTGGAGATGAGACAAGGTGTACCAGTTTATGTACCTGACCTGCTTCGCGGCAGACCAATCCTTGGGATCGGCGTGGTGGAGGTAATAGTCTGTGGCAAGGTCCCAAAGCATGGGCTGCCCTTGAGTAAAGATATAATTCCCCAGAAAGAGATTGTACGCTTCCTGTCGCTGGCTGTCCAGAAAGGAGTTGTTGTAGTAGCGCTTGAAGCTCTCAATCATGTCCCGGGAGTGGCTTGTCCACTGATTGATCTTGCGGTATGTTTCCATGGTATTTACTAGTTGAGAGCCGCCGTATTGAACCGCAATAGTGTCTCCGTGGTCGTGCCACATATGTGTGAACAGATTTACGGCGTCCGTATCGTACTCGACAGTGGTGTCGTCAAGAATACCCAGTGCGTGAAGTTGGTGGCCGAGGGCGCGCTTCCCGATGACGAACTGCGCAGCGTTGGTCCGGTCCAAGCAATCGATGCAGTTAGTGCGGGCTACACCGTTCTGGACTGTCATTGGGTTCGTCCGTCCGTCGCCATTCTGGAAGAAGCCCGTTGTACTCAGAACCGACTCGGCAATGAGCTCCAAATTTCCGATGACGTCGCCACCGCGAACTTTGGACGCCCTGCTCATGTCCCAGGCCTTATGGATGATCTTTTTTCCTGCCGGTAGGAATTGATTGAGGTAGTCGATGGCATGCGTGTACTCTTCCAAAAGCTTCGATTCCCGGGGCTGTCTCTCCTTGGCCTTGATGAGGTTGACGACATAAATAGGCGCCCCGTAGCGCTCAAAAAGGTTGTCAAAGTGCAAGGCGGCAGCGCCATAGAAAGGATCTACAAGATTGAGCTCAATGGGCGGTTTAGGCGTGACGCCAGTACTGTCCTGCGTCCAGTACAGAGGGATGCTCCCGCGGTGCTGGACGTAAGACGTGTATTGCGGGCTACAGTAGAGTCGTGGGCCGGGAGCGTGGAACGACGTGGTCAGGGACTCGGCCACGATTTGCTCCGTCTCGACATCGTTGGCGACGTACCCCTGATAGACGGCCATGTCAGATTTTGGAAAGGCGATGCATGCACAGAGACAGGGCAAGCGTCAATGGATGGCGATCGTCAACGTACCAGATCGTTGGCGCCGCGCTTCAAGAACCGCGCCCCAGCAAAATAACGTGAGCGTCGGGCAATCACGGTGATATGCGCGGTTCGCCCGTATATGGAGAGAGCTGGCGACGTCATTATCTCATGCACATCACGACCAGGAACCGGGCTGTGGAGACGCAGACTCACCCGCTTGATCGATGTAGCCATGAATGATGGGGCGGCACCAGTCGTACGGATCTCGCAACGATGCTACGGCTGGCTGCAGGAGATAGTCATTCCAGACAAACATGGCGTTGAAATCTTGGTCTGAGGGCGGCAGGGTCCCCTTTGCGAGCGCAGCCCTCTCCCTCGTGACGTTGTATTGGAGGGTGCGAGTGACATCGTAGGAGTAGCTGTAGTAGAAGGACTTGGTGAGATCAAGGTTGTTGAGGATACCCAAGAACCTTTGCTCCTCGGTGTTTCGAGGGTCAGGCTTGGAGCGACCAGGGGTGAGTGGGATAAGCTCCGTGCCCTCAATCTGGTATATGTAGTGGCCGCCGACCATAGCGACTGTGCTTTTTTTGGTGATGAGAAGCATGTAGTACGGGCCAGTGAACTTGATGAAGCCGAGGAGGCCCCAGGTAGTGCAGCGAAGCCTGATGCCCCCGGTGCCGCGATTGCCGTCGTCTATGGTGTCGAGGAGCAGGTTCATCTCCTTGAGAGAATAGACAATCTTATCATCCGTCATGTTGAGCTCTGCGCCCTCGGTCGTGCGGTCAATCTTGAGTATTCTGTATTTCTTCTCGCTCACATCGACCCCAACCACGTAGTAGCGGCTAGCAGTCTCGTAGAGACTGAACTTGTGCATCTTGTAGACGAGGCGATCCGACAGCCGGTCGTCGTCGTCGCCGCCGCCGCTGGTTGAAGCCGGGGGCATACGCGAGGCTGAGTCAGGGCTAGACGTGCGGGCAAACGGCATGGCAACAGCGGGTTCGCCGTCGTTGTCCTCCTCGGCAGCTCCATTCCGAGGAGGGGCCACAGGCGCCGACGGCGGACTCGCAGCCTGGTAGTTTTGCAGAAGGGGAAAGACGGGAGCGCCTTCCATGGCCGGGTCCGGAGATTGAGGTTGCGACCCCTTTGCGCTCAGTCCATCCGTTGCCGGTGGTGGCTGCCCAGCTACCAGAGGTGCAGAGTCGTCCATGTTGGCTGGCGGCTCGTCGTGGCAAAGCGGGTGATGCTAGCTGCCATCAGATGACAACAACCCGCATTCAAAGGGAAACTGTACCGAGCACAGAGAGCCTGAACCCCGACCGGGCTGGTACTCACCGAACCGCTGATGATCGATCAGTTGCCGGTCCAGCTTGGCAACGTGGTCGGGTCAGGTGCTCATTCGCAGCCACTCGCTCATCGCTCCGATGATTGCTGAGCCTCGGTGGCAGAACGAGGCCGCTGAATGGCAATGGCTTAAACGGTGCGAACCCTGTGTCTACGATACGCGTCGCCAATGAGGGAAACGTAATGACGCCTCGCGAGCGTACTCGTGATTTGGGGGGATGGGGGATGGTGCTGGGGAGAGTGAGATGCGAGAACAAAAGAGCGACGGTATAATGAATCGCAGGGAGTTGACAAGGTGAGAGGTTCAGGGCCTGGGTGCGGGCGCGTGAGGTCAGGTACTACCTACTACTAGGTACCAAGGGTACGTACGGCACTAGGTACTAGGTATTTACGTCGCAGGTATTATGTACCTTGTACGCATCTGGACTTAGGTAAAGTACCTCAGTAGTACTCGATGCCCCAGGCAGCCACCTCGATACCTAGGCAGTACTCACCTCTCAAGCCCGGCATGGCATCTGGGCTAAGAGCTTGCCAAGTCACTTGGGTACTGATTTAGGATAGATGTCTGATATGGTATCTGGAGGTCGAGGTAAAGACAGGTTCCTCCGTACTACTATGTACCTAGAGCTTACCTGCAGCGCCCGCCGCCACCAACAGCCGGCTTGCGCTGCAAAACAGACGGACTTGGAGCAATGGGTTGATCAGGGCGCAGAGCAGTTCTGTGCAGCAACCACCATATAAATTACCAGTCTCTCGATGGCGGCACTGAGGTTACCCTGATGAGGCAGCCCGCTAAAGTGCCATCTCACATACACCGTAGGTAGGTAGCCGAGGCTTGCACGTCGTCGCTGTCTTGTTTGATCGCATGCCACGTCGGTCACAGATCTCAGAGGCTCATGCGTCCGTTCTCCCATTTCCATTCGGACCCTTCGCTCATGGCAGTGCCACGTCTTTTCTCGGGACTGACGCGGCTCCAACGGCCGCCCCCTGTAACCGCGACCGAGTGACGGCGTGCATATTCCATGTACGAGCGGGCCTCTGGGTCGCGAGGTCGCCGTCTCCAAGGAATCAGTCCTGGCTTAGTTGGTCCTGTCCTTCATGGTCCTGCCCCTCCCCCTCCCCCTTTCGAGCTGGTTCGGTTCCCTTGCTTGGGGCCTTGAAATCCACCCCCGTGATATCCGTCTTCTTCTCCTGGTCACCTCCGGTTGCTTCCCTCTCATCAGCACCCTCAGCGGCCAGGTCGTTTCGCAAGTCGGGGAGGAATCTATCCACGCGCTTCCAGGTCTCGTCCCACAGCTCCTGTTTGGCCGGGTTCTCCGCTGGGGAGACGAGGAGCCCACTGCTTGACATGAAAAGAACCACGTTTTTGAGGTTCTCCCGCACTGCCTCCTCCTGTGAAACGGCCATTAGTCGTCTGACTCATGCTCGCCAAGGCCATGAAAAGGGAAGGGACGTACCAGGCTATCACCCTGCCCGCTGTTCATGAGGCGATCCATGACATCGATGATCTGGACCCAAAGGTCCAGCATGCCGTCCCATTCAGACAACAGCACCAGATATTGGAGGAATACTTTGCACAAGAGCGAAGCAGACTGCACCCTCATCTCGCTCATCCCGTCTCGGTCCACAGTGAACACCTCAGGTTTCAGGAGCCGGAGGATTAGCGGAAATAGCACTTTGCTGAATATGGCGGTCCATTCCTTTGCATCCGTATATGTCAGCTCCGGTGAGAGGAGCGAACGCTGCATTGCCGAAAACGCCAGCTGTCGCACCTCACGGCGCGGGTTGGTACACTGTGTCATGAGAGCCTCGAAGATGGGGAGCCAGTATGCGGACCAAGCTTAAACGCACAAACGTAGTTAGCAAGAATTCGATCGCGCAAAGGTGCCCAGGCAACTGCATGCCATGACTTGCCTTCACTGCTTTCGAGGTGCGATTGCTGCATGAGCTGAGGCACACGGGCAGTCATGCCGTGCAGCAAGTTGACCGCTCTGCATGCGCGCGCGATTGTTTGATTCTGCCTAGTCATTGACATTGGAATCAGCTGACCTATCATTTCTGGGAGCTGACCTTGAACTGGGCAATCTTACGGTGCGGCGTGTTTCCCTTGCTTTTCCCCCCTGCGATGCTGGACCGTATCCGCCGCCTTTGGGGGAATGGACTGCGTGGCGGCAGAGGAGGCAAAGTAGTCCAGGAGAGCCACTGCTGCTTCGTAATTGTCTGCCATGATCGCCGGAGGACTGCCCACACTGCTCTTCTCAAGGATGTCGAACACCAGTGCGGCGGACCCTTCATTTGCTGCCAGGATCCTCAGGATTGCCCAGAAGTCAGGCGAGGTCATCATCTCACTTCTCAAGGGACCTGGCTCCTCAGTACAGGTGGCCAGCCCCTTGAGTATGGTGTCCGACGTCTTGACAACGACGTCTTGCGGCAGGCTTGAGATGGTATGCAACAAGAACGGCACATTCGCAAAGTCGTGGTCCTGTACCAGCAGTCAGCACAACGAGGACCTTGGGTTGACGGCAAATGCAGATCAGGCCCAAAAAAAGATATTTGACTCACATAGCCTATTTTCAGAATGTAAAGAGCGTAGAATGATGCACGGGATAGTGTTATCGGGTGCCACCGGCCCGGCTCGCGAAGTACTTGCTGGACTGTATCAAAAACCACCTTGCCCATGCGCTCAATTGACGCAGCGTCGCGGGTAGCGAGGATCGTAGAGAACTCAAGGATATACGGTGTGCCCGGATCATATCTGGGTAATGACGTTACAGGAGCCTGTCCATTAGTAGGGGATGTCGTTGGTGCATCGTGCTTGACACTGATGACACCTGCATGGTCGTCCTCAGGGATTTGATCCAGCATCGACTGCACAAGCTCTGCTGCCAGAGAGGCGGGCATGTTCCTGTCGAATCCTGGTTAACACACTGCGGTAGATTGTGCCGCGCCATGTTCGAAAACTCACGCGATGTTGCTGAAGACTGTATCCATGTTACATGATTTCACACAGTCAACAGTGCAGAGCGTGCTTTCCAGCTCCTCCTCCGATGGCTCAGGGGGGTCATCTGCCGCGTAGCTGGAGATGTAAGACGTGAAGGCGCTGAAAAACCCGGTATCGGCCGCGCGAGAAGCTCTGTCTATAACCTGAGATGGCGTTTGCAACGGAATAGGCGAGATCGGCATTGTTGAGACGTCGAGTGCGGGAAATGGCGGAACAAGAGAATTCACGAACAAGTTGCGCCACAATTGTATGATCTAGATACTGTCAGTGACTTGGTTGCAAAATCTCGTGACGCAATTCGGAGCTTGGGGGGATCAGGGTATGTAGCGTACGTATTTCCAACTCCGTCGGATCAATGGCTCGTTGCCAGTAACAACCCGGAACAGGACCAGGGTTGCCAGCTGCGCTCGAAAGTCCCTCCCTAGCTTGACTGCCAATTCGCTGACCATGACGCTGTTATCACCGACCTGTACCTCGGTGTTGAGCGACGTGTTCGATGGTAGCTCGGCAGCCAGGGTGCTCATGTGGCTCAAGGAGTAGACAATCTGATCAAGAGCCTCCGAATTCTCGTATTTTGCCGCGATTCTGGCGCACTCGTCGAAGCCAGTGACAATTCGGGCGAAAACGGCATCGTCTGATGCGGACATGAAGACGTAAGACAACGTGGAGACAATGGGCCGCCAGGTCGCGGCGAACATGTCGGCATCGTAAATGTTGGTGTTGCACACAATGAGGTCCCCTGCAGACTCAGTCTTCAGCAACAGTTCTCTCCAGGCATAGTCGAAGGCGTGCTTGTTGTCGTGCTCGTCGGGGAGGATGATTTCGTTTGACTTGATTGAGTCAAAAATATTTCGTAGGAACTCGACTGAGAAATCCTGGCCATCATTCTGTCCGCGAAGGTTTCTCGAAAAATCGTCGAAGGTCATTCGTTTCGAGGACTTGAGGTTTGGGTTATGCTGGTCGGTGTTCAGGATGATAATCGCGTAAGTGAGAATGAAGACGCCATCCTTGTTGGCCACCATCTCAGGTGTATTTCCGGAGCAATACTTCTCAGAGAAGGATTCCACTATTGATGCGATGAGCGGGGCCTCTCCTGGCAGCCGGAAAGTCTCCAGCAAGACCCTCAGAGCTTCGTCGACGCGTTTGTTTGAAAAGTCGAACTCGTCCATGAACGCATTTAGGATGGCCTCGTTCCCTTTCTTGGAAAGAAAATCGCCGAGGACGGACTTGGAAACCCGCGATGTACCCTTCAGGAGTCTGGCCACCTCAACAGGATCTTTGGCATCTGCAAGGATACCTTGCGCTTCCAGGTAGCCCAAACCAACCTTTGGTTTCTCGTTGAACTTGCTCGTGCCCTTGACAATGATCCTCTTTCGCCGTCGCTGTTCCTTCAGCAGACCGGGTTCCGGATAGCCATCATATACGGGTTCCTCGTCCAGCCGCTCAGCTAGGAATTGAATGTATCGCAAGAGTGCATCGAGACATAGTGGTGGAACGCTTGTGGTGCTCCAGGTTGCCGAGTCTGGTAACGCGTTGCGTGAAAGGAGTCCGATTAGATCTTCGCACATATCGGCTCGGTCTTCATCGCAGTCATAATTGACAAAAAGCTCTGTCACAAACGTCGGCATACGCGACAAGACCCCGACACTCTCGACCATGGCTTGGCGAGCGTCGGGCTTGCGAGCGCCGCCTTCCAGGCCCAGCTTCTGCCTATCCTTAACGGGGACTGGCGTGGAACGACCGCTTCCTTGCTGTGAGGCAGGGGGCTTGACCAGCTTTGGCGTCTCTGGTATGCCGGAGTACAACGAAGGATCAATTCCCGGCTCCCGAGGTATGGGCACGGTTGGGTGGAGGCATGCGACCAAGTAGGACAGGAAGAGCTCTTGCTGCAGCTTGAGCACCCCCCTGCAAGTTGCCAGTAGCGTGCCAGCGACAATAAGGGACTCTTGTAGGACAGCCATGTTATCGGACCTGACGAGCTGGAAGAGGAAGCAGCACAGTCGATCTTCGGCGATTGTCGCGAGCGCCGGGTGGCGGGCTATGAACGGCCCGGATACTTCGAGGGCCACATGAAGGATACGCATGGCCATGACCCTCATCGTGTCTGTGTGTTGGCGGTCGTTGGGGTCCAGAAAATTGACGAGGACGCGAAAAAGCTCCCGAACGGATGGTAGAGAGTAGGGCTTGAGGTCCACCGATTCTGATCCATCGCTGCCATCTTCCGTCGATGAATCTGCGGAGGGCTGATCGGAGGAGCCATTGGCATTATCAGGACCAGGAGAGGCCTGACGACTGGCGGGCAGGGCTGGAGTCTCGTCGCCAGAGGGCTCCTCTGCAGGGCTCGTCGCACTCGGTTCATCCATCCTGATACGCCCAAGGTCGTCCTGTGTTCGGTGGTCCAGGTCGTCACTTCCGGTCCCCGCCTCTGCTTCCAAATGCTTGATATCTTCAAAGATGATCTGGCACATCCTCACCATTGACGCCTCTGCAGTCCTCCGAAGGACAGGGGAGAACCGCGGTTGGGAGCAGATGGCCAAGCCACGGCCCATCATGTCGCATACACTCTCGTCGCTCAAGAATTCGCCTCCGGGTCCTGACATCATGTCCTCCATGAGGTTGAGGATCATGAGCAGCACCACCTCTCCTTGCGCTGAATCGCTCACGTCGAACTGACAGTGCGTTACAGCAGCGGACAGTGACTGCATCGCCAAGGCAAATCGAGGCGACTCGGAGCAGACAAAACCGTAGGCAAGAAACTTCCTCAACGCGCCGAGAGCGAGGATCGTAACGGGCGCCGCTGTTCCCTTGGCTTGGATGACGAGGAGGAAGGGCGCCAGCAGTGTCGGGGCGTCAAATGTGCCGATATCTGCCCGCTTGGTCAACGTCACGGACCAGGACCCGAGGACGGAGAATACTGACCCTTGACGGCGGCGATCTCATGCCTCAACTTGCCAAATCCAGCAATCATGGGATTGTCCTGCATACTCTTGCCCCGTTGGCCTCGGAGGCCCCAGCGACTGTTGGCGATAGCATCCGTGCTGCCGTCGGTGGGGAGCGTTGTAGGGGCGAGCGGGCTTCTGCTCCGGCCTTTGAGGGCAGGGCTCGGCGGCCCAAGGTGTATAGGATTGGGACTGCCGCCGAGGATGGCCGAAACGGACGAGTGCGGGGATCGGGCATGTTTCTGGATGGCCGACGTGATCGAGATGCATTCGGAGATGACGAGAGATATGGGGTCGACGGCAACGGAGACTGGGCGGCTGCGGTAACGCATTCGCGGCGCATCGGGGGGTTGGGATTCTTGCGAGGGCATCACGAGGTCGGAGGTGGGCACGGAGCCACCCGCTGTGCCAGACACCTGGGCATCGCGGCTCATGATCTGTGTGGGTACCAAGGGGAGCAACGACGTTCTACCCGAAGACGCGACGCTGTCAGTTGCCAGTTCTCGCGATTTGGGGGCGCATCAAGCGGTCGAAAGGGATGGCGCAGCGAAGCGACCGGTACGTACTATTCCCCACTGATGACTGTCGCGAAGCGAAGGCTCGGGGCCGCCAACGCCAGACGAAGGTGTCCTTTCGAACAGTCGTTCCCTGCGAAAGGATCGAGGGGAGCGGCAAACCAAGCTTAGATGCAACTGGGCTGTTGACGCGAGGGCATCGAGAAGAGGCCAATGTGTCGCGATCACGGTTTGCGAAGGTATCCCGCGCTTGTCGGCGGGAAGTCTCGTCAAGGCTGCTGTATGAAATGGGCAGGAGGCGACAATGTCTGGTCAGTTGGATCCTCGACGACAGCCTTGCAGTTCACACTGGGTCAACTGTGATTGGCTGAGTGGGCCCAGTTTCTTCCAAGGTGAGCACGGCGACCTGCCTCCACCAGACACTAAATACGTATAGGTATCAAGGTCAGGCACTAACAGGTACGCAGGTACTAGCCTCGACACAGAGACCCCTTGGTGCCTGCTGCCGAATTGTCAAATAAGGACATGTGCTACTATATCACGCAAGCACTGAATCCGTGTGCAGTACCATCCTTTCATGAAGCTTCTAAGAGACTCGGGCGCCTCAGGCTGTTGGGCGCCTGAGGAACCAGAACCGGATGCCTTAGGCAGTAGTCATTCCGAAGGTGCACACCTAGGTATGCAAACGTGGCACGAATTGATGACATAGCAATCTCGTGTATAACGCCCTTGCTGGTCCGATCCAATGCTCCAATGCTAATAGTGTACACCCTGTTTCGCACCCAGAGACCGACCCACCGAGAGGGTGATGGGCCGAGAGGAAGAGACGGGAGCTCATGGATGCCACCACTTCCCAATACGTCTTCCTTCGCTCAAACAAGAAGAATTGCGCGTCTCCCTACCTGGGGGGACCTACGCTGCATTGGCGCCTCTCGCCGCTGCCGCCCCAGCTGCCTTCGCCGCTGCGCCATCGCGCGAGCCCCCCGCCTCGGCATCTCGGGGTTTCTGCTGCTGCTGCTGCTGCTGCTGCTGCTGCTGCTGCTGCTGCTGCTGCTGCTGCTGCTGCTGCTGCTCTTTAATGTCCTTCTTGTCCTTCTCCCATTGCGAATTCGCGTCCCCGAATTCCTCTTTGATCTTTTGCTCCTTAGCTTTCTTCTCTTGCTCCTCCTTCTCCCTGGCAAGTCGCTCTTGCTCCATTTCCTATGGAATCAGTCAGTCAAATATCTGATCTCAGCCCAATTCACTATACCATACCTCCATGTGCTTGATGTCATCGACGCTCGGCTCGTACAGATGCCATATGACGTAGTGGGGTAGGCCGACCACTGAGTATTGCATACGCCTTGCCATCTGCATGCATCCTGTCAGCCAAGGGCGGCTCGTCCTGGCACAGCCCACTCACCTTTCCAAAGCCCTCAGTCTCGGCGTGTTTCTGGAAGCTGAATGCGGGAAAGTGGACACCGGCACGGAAAACCTTTGCCTTGGCGAGAATGCTGACGCCTCCAACGCCGTCAATCTCCATCTCCATGTCGGGGTCACCGTAAGGATCGCGAAGGTAAGCAAGATGCGGCCTCCAAGTGGCGTACTCCGCGTAACCCTCCACAATGACAGCATCTTCATCCAGGGTATCGGCCAGGGCCAGCGCTGTTTCAGACTCTTGCCACGAATTCAAGTCGTAGGGCTGCTCGCCACCAAGCCAGTCAGGCAGGGGTCGCCAAACGTCTGAATGCCGGGATTAGCGCAGTGCGCACCAAAGGCCGATCGAGGGACTTACTCGGCACAATGACATCTTTGTTATGGCGCATTAGATCCTCCAGAATTGTGAAGGGCGCCGTCTCCACGTCGACATCGCGCCAGTACACCCACGAGTGATAAGGACGCAATGCAGCACTGAGCAGCCAATTTCGCGCCTGCGCCATAAGCTTTCTGCGGCTGGCTTGTGCGGCAAACCCATGGCGACTTTCCACATCCTGATTGACCTTTTGGCCGAAGTCCTTCTCGATGATGGATACCTCGCCATAAGGTTGCTTGGGGTCCTGATCGGCTTGGATTCGCTCCAAATTCTCTGTCAACACCTCCAAGGTGCGGTCCTTGGAGTCGGACACAAGGAAGGCAAGGTCAATGAGGTGGTGGGGGTATGTGAAGTTTCGCAGGTGAGCAAAAAACATGGGAAGATGCGGTTCAGCATCTCGGAGAGGGACGCAGAGAAGGATGCGCTCCTCCCGCTCCCAGCCACGGGCCGAACCCTGGACGTTTGTTAAATCGTAGTATCGCACCGTTTCGAGCTCGAGAGTCGCGGTCGAGGACAAGAAGCCTAGGGAGACGACGGAGACCAAAGGATTCGAGGGCCAGAGCCACAGGCTGAGGAAAAGGAACGCTGCAACGACCGCGGCAAGACGGATCAGTATCTTCCTTCGACGGCGGTTTGCTGGCACGGAGCTTCGCGGCTGGAATCTGTATCTCAACCGAAGTGGTTAGCGACGCGCAGCAGGCACCAGGGAAAGTTGAGGCTGGAGAGGTCACCTATGGGGAGAGATGTCGAAAGTGCTCCCGCGCGGGTAGCCATTGGCAAAGCCGCTTGTGTGATGCCGGGGCATCATCTTGCTGCTGGGAAGCAAGACATGCGAAGATGGCGACGATCTCGGCAGAGCCGTGCGTGCTGGGCCGGTGGGCTCAGGGGTGAAGGTCCAGGCGCGCCAGGGCGCTGCAAAATGTCGTCTCGGCTGCTTGGGGTGGGAGAAACGGCTACGATGCCCTGGGTGACTGAACTCGACCGCCTTGCGACCGACAGTTGGCAGTCAAACGATGTCGAGCGGGAATGATGGGGATCGCGCGTCAGGCAGGTGCTGAGTTGGCTTCTTTGCCTGCGAGGGCAGGTTGGTACGATGTGTTCAGGTCCCGTCTCTGCCAATTCGCGCTAAGGGTCTCGCAGGGGCGCCGAGGGAGGGACTTCCAAGTAAGGAACCTCGCGCTTCCGGGTACTTACATGTCAGGTAGCGCGTACGTAGTTGGCCGTCTTAGCGGGGACTGCCTCCCTTGATACTTGGCCTGGCGGAGCACTCAGAGCGAGTGGCATCCCGACATAGGTACATGATAGGTACCTTGGCGAGAAACGCTTACTGTACAGAGTTGCCATGTAGAACGCACAGAAGAGTACCTTAAATTATGAAGACCCACTTCTTCAACACGACTGGCAATCAAAACCCTTACAGTACGGCAAATGGTTGGTTTGCTCATGACGCATCGCCCTCGTCGCGCCACACGGGCACGTCGGAACCAGGCTGTAGCCAAAGGGCCGTTCTAGAGGTATCTAGCTTGGCAAGTAATATGCACGAGACTTCCGGACATAGGGCGGGACCCAGTTGCGACAACGTTCGCCCCAAAGCCTTTGTGTGCACAGCACTTACCGAGATACTGTGTTTGTCTCAGGCACAGCGTGACTAACTGGCGGCTGGCCGTCGCCATGCAACAAAACATAATGGGCTTCCCATGCGTGACTCCAGCACATCGAATCGCCTGCGTTGGGTAACTACCTGGGGAAAGGACAGAATTGTGGACTCGGACCCATGAAAATTAAGAGCCGTCGGCACGACACAAAGCTCATACTACGGTAGGCGCTTTGATCGATGGGGGAGGTTTGCCGCGGTGGTGCCACACTACGGCGTAACTCAACATCTCAGGACAGAGCAGGATGTACTTACCCGATTGCAGTCACCGTTTCGTTAGCTTACACCTCGAAGAAAGAAAGCACCCGACTTCGCGGGGCTGATTGCCGTGATAGCCAGCCGGCCCGTTCCCTGCTAGTTCCGTTAGACGACTGGTCCAAACGCGAGCAGCAATGGGCGTCTCAATAGAGCGAAGAGCTTCAGTCAGACAAGCCAGTTTACTCAGTCATCCCGACCGGCCACCCACTTCAGGCAGCGCAGAACGAGCAACCCGTTGCAGGGGCACGGAAGTCGAATTACGCTGAAGAGCAACTCCACAACCCATCATTGCGAAAGAAATTCGCTCGAGTGTGGGAGGACGACTTGGCCAGCATGAAGTAGTGGAATGGATAGAACTTGTGTCATCATGACGAGCAGCTATAGCCCACAGCATGAGATCCCGTTGCTGGGGGAGACGTACCCTTAGTAGCTGAGCAAGAATGTTCCGCTTCGAGAACGAACGTATTCTAGGGTGCATTCGCGCTCTGCATTTCTGTCAGCCGGGTACTCAGGACGAGTGGCGAGTCAGAGTAGAATCTTGTTGGGAAATCGAAGCCCAGATCAGAGATCTTGGTATGGTATATTGGGAGTCATCACAGTGGTTCAGTAGCAGAACTGGATGAATGGTTTCTCATCATGAAAAAGGGCAAAATGGCAGGCAAATGGCGGTTACACAACGTGTGGCGTGGTGCACGGGAACGTACCAAGCATGGGACGGAGGTGCACCATGTTCCAGAAGTCGCAACAGGCGATTGAGATGACATGACCTGGCCGAGCGTACGTCAGCAAGTGTCCAGGAGCTTGACCAAGCGTGCCAGCGCAGCCCCTCGGGGGAACGGTTTAGGAGTTCAGATGGTAGTGCATGTTTGTTCAAGCGCTCAGGAGTCGCGGAACAGTGGTGTGAGATATCATCATGTTGATGTCGAAGTAAACCGTGTTGGAAGGCACGAGAGAGTGCAGACTTACCGTTGCAGAGGCTCTGGAGCAGCGATCCGGGGGTATGACCCAGCCAGCAAGAGAGAGAGGAATATTCGGCAGCTCTTGATGCAAGCCGAAACTGCACTTGCTGCCTCATCCCCGCTGGCGAATGCCAACCGCACTTCTTGCGTTCGTGCTGGCGAGCGCGACGACAATGCAGAACGTCATGCGCTGAGATCTGGAGAGGAAGAAGGAGGAAAATTGCACGATGTTTACTGCACGAATTCCAGGTTTTGTGGTGCACCCAAAAAAAAAAAACCTTAGGTAATCTCCCATGTCGTTGGCGGCAAGCCGGAAACAAAGGGCCCGTTGCCGGCCCCGCTAGCGTCATATCTACACTAAATGCACAGTGCTGGGTTTGCTGCTGTTACCTCGAGCAGTGCTGGGAGAGGAGCAAACCGTCAACAGTGACGGCCGACATTGCACCATGGCTGATCGCCGACGAGTCAATGGCCCTGGTGGGCTTTCAACTCCGCCTATCTACGAAGACGATTCTACCTCCCTCGCATCACGGACCAGAAAACCCGACGGTGTTCGGGGGATATGTGAGTAACTGCCCAACGCGGCCATCATGCTTTGTGCTGATGCAGAGATCTCTCAGACCTCAAGACTGGCGTGACGCCTTCTGCCTCAGGATCGGCATACCTAGAGATGGAGTCGCGATCTGGAGTCAACGGTGGCATGAAACTCACGTGTACGGTCCACGGCCCGCGATCATTGCCACGGTCAGCACCATTCGCACCACACATGGTGCTCTCAACTCACGTCAAGTATGCGCCGTTCGCAACCCGCCAACGGAGAGGCTACTTGAGAGATTCTTCTGAGCGAGATTTGAGCACCCACCTGGAAACCGCTCTTCGGGGAGCTGTCATCGCAGATCGATGGCCGAAGAGTGGTGTTGATGTTGTGGTCACTGTCGTGGAAGGTGAAATGGCTCGGCATGCGGCAGTCGAGCAGGGACTTGAGGAATGGGACATGATGAACGTGCTGAGCGGGTGCATCACTGTGGCTGGTGCAGCCCTCGCAGATGCCGGAATCGACTGCGTTGACACAGTCTGTGGTGGGGTTGCCGCGTGGGTTGACGGTGTACCAGGTCAAGCTGCCACGGCACTAGTGCTCGACCCTGTCCCGTCGGAGCACGAATCCATTCTTGCAGCGTGCTGCGTCGCATATCTGCCATCACGCGACGAAATCACCAACCTCTGGTTCAAAGGCCGCTTGCCTGCGGCTGACGCCGATGCTCACCGAACACTCATGGCACGGGCGGTCCACGCGGGCCGTGGGACGAGCCAGGCTCTTGGCGCCTCGCTTCACGGCGCCCTTGAGGATCCCTTATCAAGCTCGGAAAGCTTTTGATCAGGACCTACAACCAATGCAACAGCGATGGCCTGCCGTTCTCCAGGTTCTCTGTCTGCTGTCTTTCATATGCGGTGCGTGCCGTGCGCCTCGCCCTTCCGTGAGATGTCATTGCTAACTGCAGATAGTTAAGGTCGGGCATATGTAAGACTTTGTGGCTGTCTCCGAGGCCTGGAAGTGTCACCCTCCGTCGGAGTTATGGCATTGCGGCCTGGGAGGCAAGGCTTCATGTTGAATATGTCGTCGTGTGGAAGGCACACGGCTAACTGAGATCAACGCCAGAGTTTGCAACGCGTGCGAATGACTTGCTCCTCCTGCACCCTTCGACAGCGAACACGGAAAAAGGGACAAGTGGTGCAAGCAGCCAAGGCTTCGTCTCGAGACCTCTCCCTGAAATAGGGATAGGACTTCTCATCCTGAGACTTCTCATCCTGCCGCAGTAGTCTCGACTGACGGAAGACCGAGACAACTTTGTCTCTCGCGTGTCGATGGCGGGTGGCTGGCTCGGAATAGAACAGACAACGTATTTAGGCCTGGACATTTCATCAGTGCACTGTACTGGTGCGAAGCGTGTCTACACGCCAGTCTATGCGACAGGGCGTCACGTCCACTAGGTGCAGAATTTAGCCAAGTTTACCACGGTTAGTGTCTGCTACATGAATCATAGTTATAGTGTTACCGTCGGGTCTGTACCATAATAATGTGACGGGAATCCGGCATTGCGAGCGGTTAAGGCAGCCCAGGTAGCTATCTAAACCCGGTGCTCACTAATAATTCATATACTTACCAGTCCCTGCACTCTTTAATTATATAAATAATCCTACACATAACATTATAAGTATTATACTATTATATAAACACTAAACTACTAGGTAATTATATCTTAATTTAAACTTCTTGTAGGTATTAGCATATCTATGGTATTTCGTATCACTTTAGGACCCTTTCCCCGAGGTCTTTAGGGACTAGGGTACCTGGGCACCCACCCAACGGGTCACCCACCCCACCCAAGGCGGTATTCGAGCGAGGCGTGTCCCGGGTAGGTTGGTACCTGTCTCTTAGCGGCGGTACCACCAGGACGTACCTCCGAAGTACAGATGAGTTAGACTATGAGTGGTTGCCGAAGCCACGACCGCGGCCGAGCCTGTTTCTCTCCGTTGTCCGCCATTCCGCGCGGGGCGACCCTTGGTTTTGTCCAACCCAACTCTACATACCACAGCATTTCGAGAGACGCAATCATCAGCAGTTGATCTTCTGCCCAGGGGTCGCGCCGCCGCCCCGATCTACTATTTCTACACTTGTCCCGCCGATCCTCGTCCGCGTCGTCGACTCACGGCCAGTTGCCATCGGTGCGGACAGGAAAAGCAAGCTCGACAATGTCTCTGTATGAACTGCCGTCCTAAGTCCCCGAAGTCATCCCCGCCTTAACCGAAATCGTCCGGCCACGACGTAACACGACGAGCGAAAGAGGCGTCCCAGCCGATCACACCGCTTCTGGCTGCGTTCCGGCTTCGGTGCGGCCCAACGCTGACACCGGTCACGATGGAGCAATACACCCGCTCCCAGAGCTTGGGACGTCTTGGTCCTTCTCTGTCACCCCCGGTGGACTCCCACGCCGCGGCTGCATCAGGCTGGTACAATCTGACGGCTTGGGCGGTCAACGTGACGCGTTATGCGCCATTCCTCGAGGACCTCATGCGAGCCGGTCCGCGTGTGTTCACCAAGCTAGGTTCGTACATCAACTTGGCCGAACCACTTGAACCATCGAGCCACGAACACCCGTCGACATCGGCGCCCATGGATATACTGTCTTCCAGCTCGGGCGGCCCGAACATCTATACGCTTCTGGACAACGCAGGAACCGTTTCGCCGTCGGACCCTGCCTCAGGCGATCCTCTCGCGCACGTCACGCGCTTGTCCCTCGATGGGGCGCGCGGTCTCGGAAGCGTCTTCAGTTACGCAACCAGCAAATGGGCCATATCGTGTATTGCAATGGCCATCGTCCTTAACCGGACCCACATCTTTGCGGCTACGAGACGGAGGCTGCGTCTGCAATGGCATATCCGGTTCTTGATCCGCATCGCCCCAATTGCGCTCCTTGCTACCCAAGTCTATCGTCTTGTTCAGTCTGTTCAATGCCAGACATCTGCAGAATTTGGCATGCTGCGATGGGGGAATCCCCAAAGAAGCTCCGAGCTCATGTTTGCGCACCCCAACCGGTTCCTCAATTCACTCGCCTCCGCCCTCCTCTTTGGAGCTACGGACGAGCAATCTTGTGTGGCTGTTGGTATGACATTCGGCCCCGATTCAGAAGACAACCAACCATTGCGCGGATCCCTATCCCGGCTTTGGCCCCTTTTCGGCACGTTCTGCCTGAGTCACTTCCTGGAAACCGTCTCTTGTGCTGTACAAGGCCGCCCTCTTGCCGCAGAAACGGGCATGACGTTGTTTGAGCAGTCACTAGCTTTTGCTGAAGCGGACGCAGCAGTCAGCAATCAGCTGGGCTGGGGCTCCTTCTCTAAGCCTCCCCAAGGCCCTGGCCGTAGCTCTTCGCCCACCGGCAGTGTCATTGCCTTGACGCGCGCCATGATCCTACGGCGGGTCAATACGGCCCCAGAGGTTCTCCTGGTAGCGATACTATCTGCCATGACTCACATTACCAGCCACTTACTTGGCGTGTTCGATCGGCAGGCCAAATATCGCCTCGTCAACACGGGATTTTGGGGCTTGTGCTTCATGGCTAGCATCGTGTGGAGCGCGTGGTCCTTCGAGCTGGGCAACCCGTCTGCTCAGGGCTTGTTGAGGTTTCCAACAGTATGCATCATCGGATTCGTCCCGCATGTTTTGGTGTTGCTTGGAATCGCGACATGCGTCTGCATCTACGGCCTGGCGTTGCTATTGTCAGCCCTGTCTCCGCCGACCGAACGCCAGAGCCCTCCCTTGACCCTGCGGCAGAGACTGGCGCACGCGCATCACAACATGCAGGCGAATGTCTCGTTCTCCGACATTCGAATCACGAGAGAGATGGATTTTTATACGGCATTGTTGCGGACCGGCTTTGCGGCCATTACTATGGCCAGCGAAGCGGTCTATCTAAACGAGGACAGGGGTGTGAGCTTGCAACGACATACTTGGCTGGAAGAGGCCCGATTTCGCGAGGTAGAAGAGCTACAGAGACAGTGCATAGGCATGGGCTTACCCAGCTCGCACCATGATCAGATCGGCACAGTCGGATTGATACCCGTCAAGAGCGGCTCAGTGCTAGCCTCAAACGGCTACGCTCGGGAACGTGCAGCGCAAAAGCTTCCCAAGGGGCGCGGTGAGCGCGGGCTGCGAGTGGGAGCTGGGGCTACAGAGAGAAGCTCTCGCTGGCTTATGGCGGTCGAGTTTCTACTGAGCATTGGCAAGCTTGTTGCGAGAGTTGGTGCCCTGTCCGTTCTTTGGACCCTGAGCGTACTGCGCATACGGGCGCAGCCAGCCTGGCTGCTCTGGCTAGCTCGCCGCCCCAAAACCTCTTACGAACACGCCAACTCGTCTGATGGGGAGCAGGGAGAGGGAGGCCCACGGCTCCATTCACATCAAGGCCCGGAGGGTTTGATGGCCGGGAATGACGGCTTAGACGTGGAGGCGGAGTTTCGTCGGGTCGGCCGCTTCGAGGACGAAGAAGCTCTCGATGGAGACTTGTATCAGTACTGGGTGAAGGGCGGATGGTGGGGATCCCGTGACGCAAGCGGCGACTTTGAACCAGACTCTAACAACGATGACTGGGATGCTACCAGTGTGGTTACTGCGACCAGCGCAGGCGGCGAGTTGGGCGACCTTGCCTCCGAATGGGAAGAAGACGACGACGGGCAGAAGACGCCTACCAGACGCTCGCCTCGGCCGTCTTCCGAGGAAGCCCTAGTTGTCGACAGCCCTTTGGCTATGGGCGATCTGGCCCGACTGCTGCACCCGACCACGCACGAGGCGCGGGACGAGGCTCTGACACTTGCAGCTCATCTGCAGAGCAACACCATCATGACGCGGGCTGCATTCCGTCGCTCCGAACAAGTGCGTCGAACTCGCGTGCTGACGACAATCGGCGCTCGGTCCTCATCAACTGGGGAGCCCACGGTTCGTAACGCCAAACTCGGGCCCGAAGAGGAAGAACGCTTACTGGAGCAACTTCTGCTATCCCGCCGCACATCTCGAGATAGCTGGGACGCAAACAATGTGGGCAGGCCAGCCCCCCCGGGCGGAGAAGCAGATGCTGCCGCCAGTCTGCCCTGCGTGGTCTGCCAGAGTTCGTCGAGAACCATCATCGTCTGGCCCTGTCGCTGCCTGAGCCTTTGTGACGACTGTCGAGTGTCATTGGCCATGAACAACTTCGACAAATGCGTATGCTGTCGGCGGGATGTTATGAGCTTCAGCCGGATTTACGTGCCTTGATGTGGCGACCTACGCCATGTGCATCAGAGCCGTGGCTGCGAATCAGCAAAGGTGTAGGGTGCACCAGCTTCGAAGAGCCCAGTGATGCGGGAGTAATTGTATATTATGTGCTACTCTGGCACAGCGTGCTTCAGTATTGTAGGGGGCAGTGGCAGCGTCTAATTCCATCTGTTTTGAAAAGAGCTGCGATGCAACCCTCGAAGCCATCTTGCTTACACTACCAGCACGAAGGCTAAAATCACATGGCGGCCCATTCAACACTGATCGTGCGAAGTGGCGGTTGGAGCATTGTTTCTGAAGGGGCCTGATGGCCACCCATAAGAAATGCCTTCTTGACCGCCGTGGCAAGTCTGCCACCACTCACTACGTCAAGGATTGGTATCTCTTCATTCCAGTCGTACTGGTTGGCCATGAAGTGAGCATGGAAGCGTAGCGGGTCGCCAGGATAGACGCTATAGCGCGCGCCAAAGCGAAGGCCAGGTGTCATGTAAAACTTTGCAGTCTGAAGGAAGCGACACAAGGGACCGTCGAAGGCCATGCCCGCATCCGGAGCTGGGTCTGAAGCGACAGAGGGAGGGGCAAGGCTGCCGCTCGAGATTGGTGTTATGCCCCAGACGTTCACGTTGTTAGTCGTCGGACGCACAGTGACATCGGACTCGGACGACGGCACTCGAGCGTCGTCGACTCCATGGGGGGCACTGGTGGACGAAGCAATGGGCGTGACAGCGGCACCTGATCGTCCCAATCGGCTTGCGACCTCGACAGCTCTTTTGGCACTGCGGTTGGAGGTTGCTTGTTGCGCGGCCTGCTTTCCCCTCCTGAGGGATTCCTTGTACGCTGTCCTGGAATCCGCATCCTCACGAGATAAGGTCGCCATGTGAGCAGTGGCAGAGTCAACCACGTACGCTGCCTTACGCCGGATCAGCGCGTCGGCCTCCTCGGGGCGCAGCTCAATCGGAAGACCAAGAAACACATTCTGAGTGGGCTGTTGCGGAGTCGTGCCAACCAAAGTGCCACTGATGTTATCCCTGCGCCTCAAAAGGGCGGCGGCCTCTGGGTCAAACACGAGATATCGTCCAGCTATTTTACTAATGCGCACATGGTTGTTCGAGTTCCCTAGCGGTGTGTCAGACATCGCGATGACTGAAGTCTAGGTCAGCAGGAGCCTAGACACAACGAGATATGGTTTGATGCGCGCGTAAAACAGAGGTTTGGAAGGGCTTGAATCATAAGTCGTCTTCGTAATTGTTGATTGTGTCATCACAGAGTTCAGTGGATTGACAGATTTTCAGGTTCATAATCATAACAAGCCAGAGGGAAAGGAGACGTATAAAGGAGATGTACTGGCGACTTACCTGGCCTGGCATAGAGGACGAGCCGCGAGAAGCTGATCGTCGTGTCGGCCAATCGAGTGGGCTGGCCGTTCGCAAGTGCAAACTCTCGTGTCCGAACTTGACGCACTGATTTGGGCTCAGCGCATTTTGCACTGGAAGGGAGCCGCCACTGGAGAGATGTTGCGAAGAAACTGGTAGGCGGGAAGTTTTGCGCAAGCGGGTGCAGCAGAAATTTAAGGTGGACGACCGCCTGATATGAAATTACCGGGGCTGGAGTATGCGTCAATTGAGTGTCTGATGAAAGGCTAAGCTGTGAGACCAGCTCCTCGTCTGAGTCAGCCATTTGTGAGAACCATCCGTGTGGTTTATTTGCCGGTTGGCGCCCTGTGAAGGTGCCAGAGCAGAAACATGAGCGCCCGGGCTTTAACCGTCGTCGCGGATGCGCGTCCGAGCGTCGCATGTCTTCAGAAGGAATTGCGTGGTTCGGCGGCCCTGTTACGCTGCGCGAGTTTTGGCTGATGAGCGACGGATGCACCATATCAAGTACATTGTGCCACCCGGGGGGTGGGATATATCTCACGCTCTAAAATTCTAGCGATTGCGAGCCTGGCGTGTCCGCTGCCGGACTTGGCATTCCAGAAGCCTGTGAGCCGCCATCATCTCCCACCGGAGGTAGACTATACGGTGTGATGACCATGCCGCTGGAGGCGCTGAGCTTGAACGACATGTCTTGCCTAACCCATCCGCCTTCTAGCCCACCGCCTTTCTCGTGAAAGACGGGAAGGCTATGGACCCGTAGCATGCCTTGAGCCTTGTCCTTGTCTTCTTGGTTGCGGTGCTGCAGAGGGACAAGCTCGATGACACCGTCGGAGAGCAGCTCCATCCATCTGGTCAGGCCAGTGGACCGCGGGAACAATGAGATGGGCAGTGCCACCAATGCCGTGGCCCTCGCTGGGAACTGCCGCAGCAAGGCCCTCAAGCCGTGTAGAAACTGCAGAATTGCGCGTGGCTGGCAAGCCGTCGAGCCGTAAAGCGTTGGAGACAGCACGCCAGGCACCAAGATCCTGTGGATAGATGACGGCGAAGAGTCGCGAAGAGCCGAAGCGACTTTGGTAAGAAAGCCAGAGAACGGAGCTTCCAGCGCCGTGTCCCGCATTGGAAGGCAAATGAGTTGTCCACGGATGGCGCTAGGCTCCAGGCGTCTGGAAAGGTCAAACGAGTGGCAAAAAGGGTTGCTGGGTTGGTGCTCTTGGAGCGGCGCGGCCGCGGCGTCTGGAACCTCGCTTAGCTTCCGGTGACCCGTGGAACGCACACACTTTTCGGTCTCTACCTTTGGAACCCCGAGGGACGCTGGACAAGGATTCGTACCGCCACGCGATCATCATCTTGTCTGGCTGCCCACTGTCGGGCTTCGGCCCTCTGGCCTTGGCTGCACTGGACAGGCCAGGGAGCTCCCGTCTCCAGCTTTCGTCCACGCCTAGAACATGGACCGTGTGGCCTTGGACCAAGCCCTCGGCTCCGCAGTACCGCAGCAAGGCCCCCCCGAAGTCGGTCGTCCCTCCTTCTTGAATGAGCAATGAGGATCCGAGCGGAAGCCCCGCGTGTCCCGCGAGGAGCTGGTCCAGCGATGCAGTGCCCGTGGACGTGGTTGGCCTGCCATCCACGGGAGAAGGGCGGGTACCCGGAGCCGGATCCTTGCTCTGCCTTGGCAGCGCGGACGGCCCAGGGGCCCTGATGACCGTATTGCGTTTTCGGAATGACATGATGCTGGCAGTACTCAGTGCCGCTCACAGGTTGAGCGCCAGGCGGCAGGGTTGTTGTCCTTGCAGCGGACTGCCACGAGACGCGAGCCTGCAGTGTTCTCGCTGAGAGTGTAGCAGCATACACAGGAAGGGTGACTCCAATCTGCCTGAGATGAGCGGGTGATATGAGAAAGGCCGTTCGTTGAGAACACTCCAAGTTTGAGATTCTGGTTGGTGTTGTGCGACATCAGTCCAGTCGTCGAAACCGGGCTCCGGGAACTTGGAACATGTAAGTCAACCGGAGAGAGAGAGAGAGGGCCCCGTTTGAGCGATATGGAATACCTAATTACCTTACTTACCTTAGGTACGGTAGTTAGTACCTACCTACCTGTACTGCGCTGGCTGCACCGGCTCCAGCAGGTGGTAGTGGGTGGTGAGCACCAGTGCGGGTCGCTCGCGATAGGTACCTACCTACCAGTGGGGGGTTGCCTGGAACCCACCTGGGCAACACTCAAAGTTTAGTGCAGCCTCTTTTTTTCCACTTCTTGATCACGGCCCTGCTCCCGAGCAAACGTCCCGACTCCCCCTCCCAAAGACGTACGGCGACGCTTGCCTCACCGCATCCTGCGCTCATCATGTCCGGCGGCAATAGCGGCAGCGGTGGCGATGCCACGCTTTTCGAAGAGAGCTTCACCGTGACCGATTACGACCAGTCCAAGTACGATCGCGTCGCGCGCATCTCGTGTACTTCGACCGACTCGCAGACCGTCATGGTCCTCGACATCAACATCGAACTGTTCCCGTGCAACGTGTCAGATTCCCTGCATGTCGTTCTGACCACGACCCTCTCGCCCGATGGCACCAAGGAGGACGACAAAGGCTGGCGCGATGTAGGCAAGGGCGGCGATGCGCCCGCCACCATCGCCGACCTCTACGATTACGTGTGCCACGGCAAGATTTACAAGTTCGAGGAGACGTACGATGGAAACACAATGTGCGCTCAACCTCTGACATCGACCTCACACCGTCGCTCTGCTAACCGATGGACTCGTGCAGCAACGCATACGTCTCGTTCGGCGGTCTCCTCATGTCGCTTCAGGGTCCCGTAAAGAAGCTCACGCCGCTGCGGGTTGACAATGTCTATCTGCTCATCAAAAAATAGACGATGGCTTCCTTGTCCGTCAAAGCGAAGCAACAACGCCAACCTCCCTTTGCCCCATGCTTTGCGCTGGGCCTCCAACCCCTCAAGCCCGGGCGCTTCGCGGGTTACGGTCCTTCACCTAGCTGGGTTGCACTCAACCAAAGAGTCTATACCCGGGTCGAGCAAGCCTTCGCCCCATGCGCGCTACCGCGAGTGCCTCCAGTCGCTTTGGTGGGGCCCCGGAAACGGCATTTGGCGGTGCATCCTCTCCTTGATGGCGGCTAGCTCTGGCTCGTCGTCGTCGGTCAGTATGCTATGGCGAATGAAAAAGTCGAGTGTGACAAGAGCGCAGTTGTGCTTGTATTTGTCAGTGGCAAGATCCCTCTTGACCTGTTCCACATCGCACAGGTAGAATTCGTCGACTTCGCCGTCTTTGGGCTGAGGGACCAGATCGGCAGGTAGCTCGAGATCATAGATCCATTGACACTCCGGGTAGATGAACCCATCCTCGCCAACATACTTCTCCTCAGTGACATAGATGTACGTGACTGTGCCGACACTGCGGGCTCCATCGCGGACAAGCTTGTCTGGAAGGCTCGCCTCCTCGTCGGCTTCACGGATGATGCACTCGAAGGGGTCCTCGCCCGTCATGAGCCCGCCCGCGACCGTATTGTCAAGCATACCGGGAAACGTGGACTTGTCAGCGGCGCGCTTGGGCACCCAGAGCTTGATTCCGTGCGGCGCCGACTTGTCGGCAACGTACGCCGTCATGTGGACGCCGTAACGCATCGTGCCGAAGAGGCCCATGGCTGCGCGCTCAACGCTGAAGAGCAGCTCGCCCTTGCGGCTGTAGACGGGCCACACCTCGTTTCGCCAGCCGTTAAGGAGCTTAAAGGTGCTCCGTTCGCGCCAGTAGCTGGCCAGGGCGGCGACGCAACGGCTTCTCTCCGCCTCGGTCGGCAGCTGGAACAGGGACAGAGTGCGGTGGACGTGGTCGACCACAATCTCGCCCACCACTTCAGGAGGCACCTGCTCCAGCTCTTGAACGACGCGGGCCAGCACATAACCGATGGGGTACTGGCCGTCTGCGTCTTTCCACATCAGCCGGTACAAGTCCTGATCCGCTACAAAGGCCCTTTCGCCCTCGTCACCCCCACTGGCGTAAGGGAAGCTGTGATGTGAGGGGCGGTCAGTCAACTGGTTACTGAACACTTGGGCAGGCCGGCCGTCAATGGTACCACTGCATTGGACAGATGGCAGGGGTCGGGCGAGACATGAGGCACTCGGCGCATGGAACCTTGAGGGCGTGGCACATACCGGTCCGTATCGCTGATGAGCTCGATGTTGGACTTCATGGCGGCAAATATTTGTGCGAACTGGTCGAGCGGCGGAGTAAGGTATATGAGGCCGCGGCAGTCTGACAAGGCGAAGGACCTCGAGGTACTAACGGTAGTACGTAGGTAATCAACCACCTTACCAAGTATGTGCCGAGCAGAACACTGCCCCTTGGCCTCATAATAATAAGTACTAGGTACCTAGCGCGTCTGGTCGTGCTGGCTGGCCGTCCTTGCTCCGCCGACCAGCGCCCGCGATTCGAGCAGCCATGGGCGAAGTTGGGGCAGCTAGGCACTTAAGCAGGTATTTTCCCACCGCCCTCCATCAAAGACGCGGCGGGGTGCGTCAAGGGCTTGTGGAGGGTAGATGTACCTCATGATGAGCCCCGCCGGCAGTGATTGTCGCCTATGACGTTCGAAGTTTAGTGACCTGGTCGTGTACTGAGACAATAGGTGCTGCCTCAGCTACGGTGTTGTGTGCCGCTCGCCCGCTACGTGCATAAAAGTGCCAACTTGGAAATATACGCAAGGTATTATGTACCTAGTACTACATTTTGTCCAGAAATTACTTATGGCATCTGCGCATGCCCAGCAGCTGGCCTCGATCCAGAGTCCAGATGCTGGCCCAAACCTCAAGGTACCTAGATAAGGTGGAAGCATTGAAGGGCCGCGAGGCTTCGCACCACTCCACCGGGTTCCAAAGGCCCAGAGACAAAGCAACCACGCAGCGCCTCCCATTTGCAGGCCCAGACACTTCATACATGCAGCCGCAACGAACAAGAAGATAGAGTCATGTCTGGGCCGATTTTCGGCATCGTCCCCGCGGGCTTGCCGCTCATCACTGAACCAACCTCGACGCCGTCCCAGACGTCCTGTCTCTATGCGCTACCCACCAGCAAGAGCTACTCGCACATCGTCGTCTTTCTGCTCCCCAATGTCGCCCTTCCCGCAAACACGGCGGCCGCCATCTACCTCGCTACTGCCAGCGAGGTCGCCGCAGCCGCTCAGTCCGGTGGCACCCCCAACTTCCGGTTTCTCGGCGGCATCGGTCCCGGAAAAGAGAGTGCCATGTTCAAGGTCGGCGGCTCCTCTGCGTCTTCATCGCCCGAGGCCGGTGGCCTTGTCATCGGCGTGTCCGTTGAGCCTGCCGACGCCGTTGGCCAACGTCTGCAGGAACTTGCCGCCGGGAAGACCACCGGCGCCGTGGCTTCGGCTGCCCAGCCCTCGACAGCCATCCTCGCCCAGCGCATCATCCAAAATGCCTTCAACTTCCTGGCCAGCTTCAGCGGCACAGCTGGTCCTGGCGGGGTCGAGGTCGTTCCGTTGAGGGCCTTCGAGGACTGGTGGCGCAAGTTCGAGTCGCGCGTCCGGGCTGATCCGAGTTTCCTCGAAAGACAGTCAGACTGAGGGGGTGCCGCCGAGCAAATGCGTCGCCAGAATGATGGCGACATGGCGTTGGCGAACCTTGCCTCCTCCGGTTTACAACGCCCAATATGCGCAAGAGCCATCACATTCATGTCACTGACCTTGCACCCAGCTTGCTGCTGGGAGCAAGTGAAACAGGGACCCGCTGCTATCAGAGGAGCGGCAAAGAGGCGTCGTTGAGGAAACATCCATAGCACCGTCAGCGCATTTGATATTCTCACCCGTACGGAGGAACCCGGCCGGCCGGCCAAAAAAAATAAAAATAAGAATCGCCATAATACACATCGCCCACGCCCTGGGGTCTGGCCCCTCCCATAATTCCGTCGCTACCCGAACCCGACCCATTGACGCCTTTTGAACGGACAGATGTAGGATGAGAAAGTACACTCGCCAACATCTGCGACAAATATCTACGAGTCTTTATAAACGCTGCTCTCCGACTGCAGATGCCTCGAACGTGGCGGACTAAGGCACTAATCTTCCGCTGGCGTGGTGAGAGGGCTCTTCAGTCTCGTTGGGCTGCCCGCTCTGCTCCGCCGCCCGGCGTTGAGCATCTGGAGCGACGGCGCTAGTCTCTCGCGGCTCTCGGTGCGAAGTACCAAGCCATTCCTGTCCATCACAGATGCTGGCTGAGCCTCGAATCGCTCAATGTTGAGACGAGGTGTAGTGATGCCATGGCTCTTGCCCGTCCGTGAGCCTTCGCTGCTGTCCGAGTAGTCGTGGTCATCAGAATCGACGTCTCCAAGTTCGAACTCGGCAGCGTCCCCCTCTTCCATTACTCGTTCATACGCCACTGCGTTACGTCCAAACAACTTGCTGGCCAAAGAAGGCGCACCCCGGGTGGGTTTTCGCCCTGAGCCGGATCGGCGCCTCCGCCGAACAATGCTCAACAGCCGTCGTCTTGTGTCTGGCTTGCGGAGGATGTAAGCTGCAATCAGCAGGATGATAATAAGCAGCCCCACGAGGCTGAAAGTGGACTTGCTGGGCGCTATTATCAGATCGTCGTCATCTTCGTCCGAGCTCGCGATAGGCCGGAGTGGTGCTGATCCGGCGTGCTCGAAGTCAGCGGGGGTACCTGACTCTACGTTGCTTCCGAAGCCTACCGGCAGCGAAGCCGCCGTCTTGTCGGGAATCTGTCCGGCTGCGTACAGGACCATCTTCCCGAGCGTCCAGCTCACTTCAATGCCGTCGATCTTGTCCACGGGTTGAAACGGGCTGAGGAACCCCTTCGCCTTTGCCTTCTCCGCAGCGTCCTTGGTGGTGTTGATTCCGGGGCTCGGAACGCCTTCCAGGCTTAGCCGCGGGATGCCTATACCTTCGTGGAGGACGTTGATCAGCCACGAGGCCTTGAAGCACGCCTCCCTGGCGTCTTGCGTCTTTTGCTCGGGGGTTTTCTTTCGCTTGTCGAACTCGCTCTCAATGGATGTCCAGTCGCGGCTGCAATACTCCATAACGCCGTGCTGGTAGGTAGAAAGATCGTAAGCCTTGTTTTCCTTGCCGAAGACGCCATGTGTTGTATGCCAATACTCAGACACGCCAATGAAGTGGTTCACGTCAAAGTCGATGGCGGGTACATGCTGCCCGTTGAGCAGGCAGGGGTGATCGTCGCACGGGGCGTCCTTGCGCAGCAGGGGATGTGTTTTCCGTAGACATTCGTCAAAGGCGCCGGTGCCAACAAGGACAGGCTTGCTTGGTGTGTTGCCTGCCAGGGACTTGCCATCAAGTGTCGTGCGCAGGCCCCGTGGCATGCAGGGATCGGGTATCTCGAGGGCGCCGTCGGCGTAGTTTTCCTTCAGGCTGTCGATGTATCGGGCGCGAGCCTTATTGGCACCGAAGCCAAGCCAAGTGGTCGTGAAAACACGATGCTCTACCGGCGAGCCGTCGACGCGGCGCATACGAACGAGCTTGAGGTCGTTCGCATGCCGGGCCGCCTCGGTGGCATTTGGGGCAAAGGCGATCTGAGCGGATGCACCCCCCATGTCCAAGAAGCCATACGTGTGATGTCCTTTGCCGTGAGCATGCTCCTCGGGATGGTCAAAGCCGCCCAGGAGGTAGTTGGCAGCGAGCCAGCCGTACAGCCCTTCCGTCTCGCCGGAGATAACCTGGATGTGGGAGTTGCAGTCGGGAAGGTCGAAGCTCGTGTTCTCGCGGAAGTAGGTACAGATGCCCTGCAGGAGGCCGCTCTGTTGATGCTTGGGAAGAAATCGGACGCCTGCGGTAGCCATAAGAAAGACGGGGGTCTCGGGGACCATTGCGGCGGGCACCTCTTTGAGGGCTACGTCGATGAGCGATTGGAGATGGTCCGGGCCCACAGAGGCGACATCTTGGGCAAACGTGGACACGCCGGGATGTATCTTCTTGCTCTTCTTCAGTTTCAGCTTTGGTAAGCTGCGCAGTTCGCTCGTCGAGGCATGTTTGGCGGCGGCGGCGGGGTGCTTCCACTTGTACACGTAGATGCGGGTTCCCGAGGAACCAGCATCGAGGATGACACCATACCGGGCTACGTGGCGCCAGAGTCGCGCGTCAGCAAACGAGGATCCTGAGGGAAGGAAGAGAATGGCGACGCACAGTGTTTACCCATGGGGATGGAAGCGCTCGCACGAGGCCGCGCACAGCCAGCGATGTCGATGGACGGCGAGGTGTGCCCGGTGATGAGAGACGAGCCAGGCGCACTAGGAGTGCTAAAGCAGATTTAAGCGTCTACGCCGAAGCCTCTTCCCCAACGCGGTTGTCGGAGCCGACGGGCGAGAAACGATGGCGATGCGGGAGAATTGCTCGAACGTGTCAATGTCGCTCGTGGATGATGTCGAAGCCTCGCGGGCGTGAGCAGTTCCCGAAACGGCCGGATGGGCGGCGATTAATCGCCAAGGATCGCAGGGGTCACTGAGGCAAAGCCTGGCAGGGGCGAGAGCGCGGAGCTGGACGTAATATATTGCGACAAGAAAGGCGAAACGAGAGATGGCCGATCGAGTCGATGCTGATGCGGTGGTCGTGCTGTATGGAAGGAAAATACGGCGGTTTGGACCAGTTCATCCAAGGAGGCAAGGCCGCGTATCCACTTCGAATCGTCAGTCTTTCGTTCGCGGCGCACGGGGGGGCTAGGCCCGCTTTGGTTGGTGGCACGAATTGAAACCTCGCGGCACACCTAGGTACAATCCCGTCGGACGAGGATGTACCTAGGTACCTCCCGCCCCTGCCTCGATACCTACTCGTACTTAGACAGTGCGGGGATTTGTACATAATAGTACTTACATAGGTACAACAATTTGCAGGTGCCGTCTCACTACCCAGTACTACTAGAGGTACAGGTAGGTAATGACGATAGAGCCTTGGGTACTCCTACCTTATCAACGGGTTGATGCACCAGAGTCAAGGACCGGCAACAGCGGGCAGTCGTGTCTTCTTGCCAGACAGGTCCCGTCTGCAGCACCCCCCTGTCAGTGCCAGAGATAAGGTAGGACGACGTCACCGACCTGGCCTCTCGACGCTCGCAACACGCCCCACCTCGTATTCTCTTCGTCTCGCCCATGCCAACAGGCCGCCGCCGCCATACGGAACCAGAAGGCCCGCCCGGGCCTCGGCCGCACCAGGGCCGCCACGATCGTTCGCCGACCAATGCCTTTACCCTTGCGCACTCGCTCACTCGATGCAGTCACCTCCGTCCAAGTGTGAGCCGCTGGCAAGCTCATTGTCCACCAGCTTAGAGAACTAACGCCAGGCGCAATACGATCCACGTCCCGACAGAAATATACATTCACCACTGCCCAACGCCCTTCATTCCGCTGCTGGTCCTTTTCGCTTGGCAGTCGAGGGCATCGGGGCCTCGTCATGTCCGGTCATTGTGCCAGAGCGGTCACTACTGTTGCAACCTGACAGATGCACCGAGGCCCGTGATGTTGGCGGGTTGGCTTACCTTGAGCCCAGAAGAAAGACCAACGCCGGACAAACTGCCTCTTCCTTGACAGAGATCGGAAGTCGACGGGATGATGCCTCTCCGGGAGCCCATTACAAGCGGCGCAGCAGTCTCCCGAGTCTCGTGGCTTCTGTTCCCCAGCTGCGAGGCAAGCCCGAACCTATGTCGAGCATCAAGGCCGCCTGACGCGTAGAACATTCCCGCTGCCATGGCTGTCAGTTTCAAGGCTTGCTAGTCCGCGAGGCAAGTTGCGGCGTTGACGTACGCTGCAGCGGGATTCCGGCGCCAGGCCAGCCGGTGCTGTCGGCTGTGGCCTGAGATGTAGCAGCGGGAACACCACGGCCGAAACTGCACATATCAATTCTGTTGTCGTAACTATCAGGCGCGGCAACGTCAAGCTCTGGTGCCGGACCGTGGCGTTGGCGGTGTGCACTCTCTCGCGGTGGGGCATTGAGCGATGAATCTACAGCATCGGAGGCCGCTCGCTCAATCTGGCCCATTTCTACCCTTCTCTTGACACGGTCGTAAAGCTCTTGCGTCTGCAGCAACTTTCGACTCTTGTCCTTGTATGCGTGCGCCAGCTCTTCGTGCTTTCGGCGCATGATCTCACTCTCGGCCTCACAAGCTTCGGCGAGTCAGTTGAGGCAGCTCAAACTATATTATTGAGTAGGACTGACCATTGACCTTGTTTTGCAAGCGCTCAATTTCCGCATTGGCGTCGCCAACTGTCTGTTCGAGTCTTAGATTGAGGCTACTGTATTTCTCTGTCAATGTCTTGTACAGATATTGCTGATAGTAAATCTCTTGCGTTGTCTGGTACGCCCAGAAACTCAGAGCACGCCCAGCGCATTCCATGACAACGTTCGGGCTCAGACCGCTGAGCACACTCGTCTTATAGTCTTCGCTCGGGTTGAGGTTAGCGATGACTGCGTCATCGGGTTTGGAAAGCTGCGCATTGCACGCCGGGCACGCCGTGCCTCGTGGCCCATCCTGCTTCGCGATACCGAGATCATGGACGCAGTCGAGGCAGAAGATATGGCTTCTCCGGCGTCAGAGATGGTACGAGACAAGGACACGAGTGTCCCGGAGCGAGGGGCGAGGGCGGTTCAGGCGACGCAACGGCCTTACCTGCAAGTCGTCACCAACGCGCGGTCCCCAAGCTCCTTTCGGCACTTGAGGTTGTTGCAAGTGAGGGAATGCTCCATCTTGGAGCCGTGAACCGCGCTACTGGCGGCTTCTACCGTGGTACTAACCCTGTGCACACTAGCAGTTGTATTCGGCGTGCGCGTCAATACGATGTGTTCGTTTCAATGCTGAGCCAAGCCTGACGTGTGAAGCAGAGGAGGTGAGTGGTTCGCCGCTCGTGTAGTCATCGCCTGTCCACTGACCACGGTGCTTTGGCGAACTTTGGGTGACGTCGGGGGGGAGAAGAGTGCAGGAGATGCCAGAAGTCTCTATTTCGGACTGTCCTGGACTCCTGGACGTGGGCAGAAGCTCAAAGGAAGTCATGGAGCTGGCCCGCGAGGAGTTGATTGGCCCCCAGGAACGGCAGTCGCGACCTGCCGCCACCACCGTAATCACATTCCCAACGTGGTTCACGTCGGCGTAGATCTGATGTGACAGTCACATCACAGGAGCGGCACGGACGGCCCGACTTGTAGCTGCTAGAGGAGGCTACCGCGACGAAGTGGCGCCCCCGTGATACAGATCTGTTCGGATGCTAGAGCTGAACCGCATGGGGGGCTGCTAGCACAGCCAACCGAGGGGATGAGCCGTGGCCTAGCCCTATACATGCATTTGGACAAGAATCTCATCGAGCTTTGCAACTGGGGATGAGGGATTCCCATGTCGAGCCACACATCTTAGCCCCCTCGCCAAATCCGGCTTTCTATCTACAGCCGAAGCACCTGGCATCGGCTTTCTATGCCATCGAAGATACACGTGTTATCGACAGGTATGTACTGTTGGGTGACAATTTTGATGACCTCCTGGGCGACCATGCCTCCCGTTACTGCTGAGATGTTGTGTAGCTCCCCGCCTGCCGCTCTCGACACCTCGTTGGCGACTTGCACTGATTTTCCGCTGTTTCCGAGGGCAGGCGCTTGCTGCGTCATGTAGGCTAGGATTTCGTCCGCAGGCAGCGAAGCAGTGTAGGATGTGGCCGCCAGAGCGAGGTATATCGGGATGAGAGAAGTAGGAACTTCGGGGCCAGCGACGGCCGCCATCTCATCGTTGGCCAGCTGTTCCTCTTTACGGGCTCAGTACCCCTCGTTCCAGCATCGTTGGGGTGGCAAAAGCTTACCGACGATCTGCGACATGGTCAACCCGTCGCCTTTGCGAGCGTTGACGAGTTTGATGAACTTTGCGTTGGCGCAGAACAGCTCGGCCTCGGCGCAATCAACTTCGAGCCCGCCACTCACGGACCGCGCAATGTCTAGAACCTCAGCCGCGTCCCGGCGAGCCTTGTCTTTGTACAGGTTCTGAAGTTTGATGTATATCTTAGACTCGGCTTTCATGTCTGGCAGACCACCAGGAACGGGCAGCTGCTGGTGTCTGCGATAAAACTCCTGCACTGCTTGTGCGAGGGTCCAAAAGCTTGTCTCTGGCCCATGCTAGTCACAAGCGACAGGACTTAGCCTCCGATAATCCGCAGATGTGGGGGACGCTGACATACCTGCGCATCATGGCGGAAGTCAAAGACTTGCTGCAGGGAGCTGGGTAGGGAAGAACGAGTGACGTGCTTCATGACAGCAGATATGGCCTCCTCAAAGTTCTCCTCGCTCCCTTCGGGATTGCTCTTGCGCATGGCATCGGAGAGGAGGTTTCGAAAAGCAACCTTGTCTGCGTAGGCTGTTGGGAAAGACCCATCGTGCGTCTGCTTCCACAGATCAAGATAATGGAGGAGAATAACGATCAGAGGGAGATGGCCATGGTCGTGGTCGTCGAGAGCGTCGATATCCCTAGTCATCTCGCTGGCAAAGGCTGACAACTCGGGCCACGGGCTCAGAAGCCTCAGGTCTGTGGTTGCCGTCTCGTCCGGGTGCGTATCAACGATCGGAAAGGCGTACGGCAGATCCATCTTGAAATAGGAATAGAAGCCTACTGAGTGAATTGCAACAAGCGGCGTGGCGTGCGTTCGAGCGTATGCCCTGATGACCTCGATTTGTTCTGCCGGAAGTGGCAGAACGTACAGTATCATGGTGAAGACGTCAGCGCCATCTAGGGCCATGCTTAAATCCAAGGGACCCTGGGAGGAATGAAGACCGCCTGTCAGCCAACAGAGTTGATACCCAGCTCTCGAGGCGGGCGAATTCACACCTTGGTCTTTGGGTACCAATCGCCTACAACCTCCGGGTTAAGCTCTTGCAGAAGATGGGCACAGCATTCAGCACGGGACTTTCCGCGGCAGGAGTCGTCAAGAAAGAAGTTGACCCCAAGATCGGCGTCGTCGACAGTGGCGTCGTCCATGATTGTGAATTTCCCAATCCCTACGTGACGAACGGTGGTAAGTGACCGTGCGCTGGAGCGATTGCAGCGGACAAACGGCTTGTCCTCGGAGCTCTGGGAGCGGGAACTGACCAGGAAGCACGAGATTTTTCAATGCCTCGACGCCTACAGTGCCGCCTCCAGAGTTGATGAGAAGGACGTGGGAGGATTCGAGGGCGGCCTGGCCAGACGCAGCCCAGAGCCTCAGCTGGCGGTCATATTTCCTCTCCTTATCCGAGGGGCCGTGAAGGGTGGGTGGCGTCTGGTCCGCGACGTCCGTCATTCTCACTCCGGGTGCGGCACGACGGGTGACCCTTTGCCCGTAAGGAGAGGAACCTCTGGCGCACTCGGCGGCACGCTGCTAGGTTACCAGCGCGCAAAGGCCCGGCGAAGGATGCGTGATGCGCAGGGCGCCTGGATTCGCTAACAGGAACGGCGTCTGACTGCGGTCAAACGAGGGCGCGCAGGTGGTTGCCCGTGGGCCGCCGCCGAACAGGTGGCACGCAATGAACGTCGGCTGTGGCGCTGTACCAGGAAAGGTACCTCGGGTAGGGGGTGGGCAGCTGGAGGAGCACGGGGATGGCGGGAGGCACGCAGTGTGAGAGTAGCATCAAGAAGATACGAGGGAGGTTGAGTTCTCGGGTACGTAGGTGCCTGGAGGGGAGGCGAGGCTTCGGAGAGGTGAGGTGCAGTACTAACCTACAGCATATTAATGAATCACGGAGCTTGGCTCGGGTGGAGGGAGTGGAGGACGGGAGCTTTCCAGGGCAGCCCGCTAACTAACTTCTTACCTAAGTACCTAGGTACGAACCTGGAAGTGCCCGTCCGCCTGAGGTGCCTTCATACCTTCCAGGTACCGATAGGTACACACTGACGCCCCCGTCTCCACTGCTGGCACCCCAAAAAATCGCCTTGAGGTCGTCCGGAACAAACCAATCTTGCCCATACCTGCCTAGTACCTAGGTAGTAACGTAAGTTAGGTGCCTAACAGCACCTGGGCAAACCTCCATGTTGGGTCCCACGTTTGACCTCGAGGCATCCGGCTGGCTGAGCGTTCTCGATGTTTGTTTGCCTCCACTCAAGTTATGCATCGAACCGGCCGACGCTATTTGCAAGATGTCGATGATGGATTTTTACCTTACCACCACTTGATATATACCTCATCTTGAGGTGACCAACGCCAACACTTGTCCGCCGTCTCTGCAGCATACAGCCCGGAAGTAGCTAACTAGATATCCCTGCACCTATACCTAACCTCGCCGGTGGTCTCGGACGCTGAAGCAGGACGGTCAAGATCTACTATCTCACGCACCAACGTTGCCTAGTGCCCTTGGATTCTAGATGCAAGGAACCTGGGAGATGGGCCACAACCTGGCTACACTCGGGGTCGACGGGCTTGCCAACTCCCCCGGGCAGGCTTGGGCGCACCGAGGCATCGAGCGTGCCTGCCGCCCATCGAATACGGGCAGAGCCCAGACAGGAGGCATTGGTGCCACCCAGCGCCAACTCCCTACGAACGCGACGCAGCCACATGCAACTTGCATTGACCGACGACGGTGGTGCCTTATCGTCTGACGACTTGTCGGACTCGCTTATGCCATCCAACGCTCCCACGCACAGCTCGCGATCTGGGTCGAGCCACTAGCATGCTATTCCACAGCTCAAGGACCATCGACTGCCCGACTTGTGTACGCTTTCACTTGCTCCTTGTCGCCATGTTTCACAGCATCACGAACGGGGCGACATGAGGCTCAGAAGCGGCGTTGGCGTGATTGCTGGCGAAGCGCCGGGCCAGGTCCGGCCAGCCAAGGGAATTGGGCCAGCACATCCCGCTTCGATCCGACGACCATGGTTTCCTTGGTACTTCATGAAGTTGAGCACGGCAGCTGGGACAAACTACTGGTCGCCAATGAGTCGGATCCGCCTTCCATACCACAAGTCGCCATCTGGCCGGCGTGGCTCGTTCACTGTCTTTCCAAACACGCTGCGTCATCAGCCCATGAGACGGAGCGAAACCTCACAAATTCAAGCCCGCGGACAATGCCAGCTTGGCGTGGGTCACACTGCAAATTCCGAGCCGTCCTGTCCGGTTGCTTCGACCCCCAAAGGGACGAACCAAGGTTGCACGCTGTAAGCGAGTCCTGGTATGCGGTGTCATGGCTCTGGGTACAACCAAGGTAGATGGATCTCGCCGGCTGTGCTTGGAGCCTGGTGAGATGGCTTCTGCAGATGCAGTTTGTGGGAAGGGCCCAGCCGACCGAGTCCGTGGCCGATGCAAGCGGCTCGCCTGCGCCTGGCACGTCCAAGGATCAAAAGGCAGCTGGTACACTGCGTCATCGTGGGCCGTGGTCGGCCATGCGTTGCACAACGGCCTGCCTAGGCCTGTACACGGCCTCGGCCGTCGGGTCGCATCGGATGCCCCGCTCGGCCTTGCTCACATGTCCAGCCATACGCGGATTTGCAAGCTCCAGTTTGACACGGAGCCAGCACGTGCAGCTTTTCGGTTGGCAGACTGCGCTTGCAGAGTAGCCAGCGGACGACGGAGGCGACCTCCAGCTTGTCTGCTGCTTCGTGTACTCGGCGTCGTTTGCTGCGGACTGGGGAGTCTTGCACAGGCTGGCCCGTATTCGAGACTGCGGTTGTCCGTTGTCAAGCAGTCTGCATCCGGTTTGACTATATGGACCGAGTTGCCAGGCGTCCGCAGCGAGCATGGCGGGTACCACGGCTTGCCTGTTTGGGTCCAATATAACAGCCAAGGTAGGCATGATAGCTTGATGCCCCTGAGACTGTCGAAAGAGAATTGCTTACCACGGTGGCAGGTGAAGTGCATGCGTCGGATCGGCCACGGGCGGCAAAGGAGGAACCCCGTGCCGTCTCATCTCGTCTCCGCTGGAGGTCTACCACCTCGTCACGGTTCCACGCGCACGCCGATGTCACATACACCATGGAGTTGCAGTCCCGCTGCAGTGCCAAATTGATCCCTTGCCAGAGGACGAGTTAGCCGAGCCTGCCTCATGTCTGACTGCACCGCGCCTGGCTGCACCCTGTTACCCGGCCTTGGATGTGAGAACAAACAGTCAGTCTCTCAGTCCGGCGATGTACGGCTTGTGCTGGCGCCTCTCTTCTCCACCTATCTATGCCACATCGCCAAGGACCACTCGGGATAAAGTATCGGGCCAGGGCAAGCTGCCGTGGACGGGCAGGTCTGGCGTCAGCTCCCCTGGCACCTACCCTGCTTCTCGTTTTGTTGTCTTCTGCTCGTGTTCTTCGCACCGTCCTCGCAAAATCGCTACATCTACTGCCAGTTTTGCAAGTATAGCACGACAGAGGTAGCAACTCCCCGCGGTTCCTTTGCTCGATAAGGTGCGCCGTTTGCAACCCCCCGCGTTGACCAGACAGGGTACTACCGTCGAGTCGTCTTCTGCTGACGGATCCCCGTTGGAAAGCCGTTGCCTTCGTTCTTCTTTGATAAACGTCGCCATAAACTTGTTCACGACCGGGTACTTTCTCAACAGCTGCATGACCCTCGCTGCTCTCGCCCCAGGCCCGCACCCGAAGCTTCATCCGTTAGCGAGCAGGCACTTGTGCAGAATCGCAGACACGCCAAGCGCGCCGTGGGGAGCGGCTGATCCCCCCCAAGGTCATTGCGGTCATCCCCTGCATCTTCCTGCTTTCAGCCCTACCGGACCTCATCAAAGCTGAACATGGACACCCGCCGGCAGCCAGGGCTCTCATCGGACGACAAATCTGTTTCCCATGCTGCGGGTTCCCCGAAACGCGATACCAAGAGTGTCGCAATACCTCGATGGCGCTTCTGGTGGCTTAGCATTGGGTACGTCTGGCGTGATGCTGCTGTCTGCAGCCGCACAAAACGCTGACATATTCGCGGGTATGCGACAGCGTTTGCCTTGGCCTCTTTCTGTCCATGATGGACTCATCCATTGTCGCCACCAGTCTCTACATAATTGCAAGGGACTTCCAGTCCTTTGCCTCTGTCAACTGGGTGGCGCTCGCATATACCCTCTCCTACCTTGGATGCGCCGTAACTTTCGCGCAACTCTCGGACGTCGTCGGAAGACGAAATGCATTCATTGCCGCGCATGTGTTCTTTTTCGCCTTCTCCATGGCCTGCGGTTTCTCCCGTAATCTTTCCCTACTAATCGCTTTCCGTGCCCTCCAGGGGATCGGCGGTTCCGGTATGTGACTCCTCTGGACATGGGGTAGTAAGTAGGCGTGAACAAAGTTACACAGAATCCTAACGAGACTTCCAACCCTTCGCTAGGTCTCTACGCCCTCTCAATGGTCATTATCCCTGAGCTGTGTCCCCAAGAACTACAACAGCACATTGGTAGCCTGATCGGCCTGGTGATTGCAGGCTCTGGCGTTCTCGGCCCGATCCTTGGTGGCTTTCTGACAGAATTCGCGAGCTGGCGATGGGTCTTCTGGATAAAGTGAGGGCAACGAGCTCCCTCCTCATACGGAAAGGTACTGACGCGCCATAACTAGCGGGCCGATCGGTATCATCTCTCTTGTCATCTTCCTTGTAGCCTGGCCGCAGGCTCACCACCTACCGTCGCGGAAAAGCGCTCTATGGAAAGATTTCGATTATATTGGTTCGTTCTTGATTATTGCTGCCTCTGTATTGATCGTTTTCGCGTTCCAAAACATCGGAGAAAGCGGGAGCTCGAGCTGGCGCAGCGCTGTTTTCATCGGGCCCGTCGTGGGCGGCGGGACGGGATGGCTGGCACTGGTTGCTTGGGAGGCTTTTGCCGCGAGGAGAATGCATGATGGCTTTTCCCCGGCTTTCCCGGTCGACCTCTTCAGAAACAGAACGTATGCGGCAGCAGCGTTGTCGACACTGTTCCTGGGTTATCCCTATCTGCTCTTGGTTTATTCTTTCCCGCTCAAGGCGCAGATAGTGAGCAGCAAGAGTGCGCTAATATCGGGCATCATGCTGCTCCCCATGCTGGGAGCGTCCGCCATTGGAAGCGCCGTTAGCGGTAAGGTGAACGCGGCGAGGAACGCGCATTGTGAAACAATACTGGCCGGGGCATGCTTCATGACCCTGGGCTGCGGACTTCTTACTGGTGTCGCAGGGACAGAAAACGATGGGAAGGCTCTGGGGTTCCTGACCTTCGCCGGATTTGGCTTCGGACTGTCGACCGCTGCGGCAACGATCCTCGTTGCGGTGGAGGCGCCGCGGAAAGACCACGGTGTGTCGTGCTGCCAGGAACGGCGCGCCCCAAGTTGAGAGGACCGCTCGCTAACAATTACATGTAGCCGCAGCTCAAGGCATCCTGGCACAGCTGCGTGTTCTCGGAGGCAGCTTGGGAATATCTACATCGACAGTCCTGGTGCACGCGGAAGCAGGCAAACGATACGGTCCAAGCCCTATCCTGGGATCCAAGGATGCGGAATGCCCCATAGATTGCGGGGACAGAACAGTGCTGCAGTTGGATACTTTTCATTCGGCATACGACGAGGCATTCCGCAAGGGCATGGTATGCGCCGCTGCGATATCTGGAGCTGCCGTCGCCGTGACGCTCGCAGGCTACCGAAAACGCGGGAAAGGGGTCCAACAGCAGCGGAACACAATGTTCGAAGACGGCGGTAGCGTCACCCTACCGAGGAGCCCAGCGGAGCAAACTGGGGCTAGCGCAGCGTAGTGGTCAGAGACCTTGGCGATGATCGCTTTACGGTAACCCAGCCCCTTTGCAGCCCCTGAGCCTGACCATGACTACATTACGGCCTTGGAAACGCAGTGAATGTCCCATTACGGAATCAGGATCCACGGCAGACTTGACACACGGGTTGGCGGTGTGCTGTGAGGCCCTAGCTTTATAGTTTGGTTCTGTCGAAGTGTACGAATCGTGGCGCGAAAGGATTTTGGTGGCTCTGGACACGGATGGCGGCATTAATTATCTAGGTTTCCCCCGGTTTGTCCAACTATGAGGATAGTGCGAGGGTAGTTCTTTGAGGGTGAGCTGGTATCAACTCGGTAGATTCATCTATGATACATTACGACCAAGCCAGCTTGCCAAAACAAGGTTGGGCGACAGTCAGTGAATCGGGCAGTATATGCTCAGCACGCTGCTGCTGGGGCTGGTGTCTCGACGGCGCGAAGCGTAATTTGAGAGTGGCGGCAGACAATGGAACTCACAAGGCAAGGTCTGGGCACCACCTTTCGCATGTATATATACATGTGTAGAGGGAACCTTGCCGTGGTGTCGTTGCTCTCTCTTCGCACCTTTTTCCGCGGACATTCTTGGGCTACTTCCCGACTGCGACGGTGACAAGGCATCGACAAAATCGACATTGACAGCAAAGAATTCGAACCCGGGGAGGCTTCGACAGTCGAACAATACAGCAAGAAGCAACAACAAGAGAGAAAGAGACGCGAGAACGAACCATGGTGCGACTGACCAAGATGGCGGTATTGGCGGTCGCGGCGGCGTGCCATCTGTGGGTGCAGGCAGCACCAGGCAAGCTTGCGTCGGACAGGCAGACGCGAGCGAGGCGCGCCGGGGCGAACTTGACGTGGCAGGGCGAGGAGCCGCAGGCCCAGGGCAACACGATGGACGGCAGCTGCCCAGCCTTGATCGCGGCACGAGACAAGGCGGCGCAACTGTTCACCAAGAGACTCACCAGGGGGGAGTACGAGAAGCGCAACTTCATGTGGATGCGGTGCCGCTTCGAGCAGGACAAGAGCTACTTCGACGTGGGAGGCAGCTGGCCTGGGCCGCAGGGCGAACATCTCAAAGACTTCTTGACCGAAAACACGGCCCCCGGATATCCCGTCGGCCCGCTCCTGAAGTTTGCCTTCCAGCACGTCAACGCCGACGAGAAGGGCGAGGGCGGCTGGGGCGACGCCTATCTCTGGGTGATGCTGCCATGGCTCTATGCTGCAGTGGAAAGCAAGTTTGGCTTCCGCCCCATGCCGCTGCTCCGGGTCGTCGAGCCCATCGTGCAGTTTGGCCAGTCCGTGGCGGAACAAGAGAACCGCACCTTTTATGTCATTGACTGCCCGACCGGCCGACCGGAGGGAAAGTATTTCAGGGGCTATGGCACCGAAGCCAAGAGCGACAAGGCCATGGCCAGCTACTTTACGGGCGACCCGGAGCATCAGTGGTCCACGGGCGGCAACTGAGGCGCCGGCGGCGGCTGGGGAGCTCGACGTTTGCTCTGCCTTCTGGCTTGGTCGCGGGGGCGGCCGCGGTAGGGAGACGAGCGGCAACCGGGGAAGGGGGGCAAGGGGAGCAAGGAGAAAGGGGGAAGGGGAGCAAGGAGAAAGGGGAGGGGGAGCAAGGGGAGAGGGCAAGGGGAGCCAAGGGGGCCAGGCGAGAGAATGGGCTTTGTTGTCCAGGATCGTCGTCGCCTGCTTCGTGATCATGCATGCATGTTGCAAGGTCGTGACGTGGCCAGAGAATCTGATGGTCCTGCCTGCAGCAGCTCTCGTTGCCTCTGGTCCTGCGCTGGTCACTGGGTCGGTCCACCCCATGCGCGCTCCAGAGCGCGAGAGACAAACTTTAACGAGCTGCCGATGGACGGCATGTCTACTGCCTGCTATGTACCCAAGTCGCGAATAGAAAAGGGCAAGGCCTTGCACAGTACCTACGTACCTAGCAATGCTCCCAGGGACGACGTTCGTTCGTTGATTGCCCCAGCCCGAAATCCCCCCACCGACGTCGGCTTTGACGTGATCAGCCAGCAGTCGGCAACAACAACGGCAACAGCAACAGCTGCAGGAACGGGAAGGCGCCCACCGGCCCGCGGCGCCGACGTGATTGACTGACTGATTAATTGATTGCCCACAGCCCACCCGCTAACAAACTTGCCCGCCTCAGCCCTGGCACTCTCGGCGTGACAATAACGGACACCTTACCAAATACGAGTTCCCCGCGGCGAGGACCGGCCCCGAGTCACTCACTCGCTTCGCATCGCGTCAACAGCCTCATCATCTAGGTGCCTTGACCAATCACCCCGACTCACTCCGATAAACCTCTCTGGCGCGCCGCTCGACTTGCCGGACCGCGCAGTCATTGCATCTGCAGCTTCATGCGTATCATCGTCGCCCGTCTCGCCCCCCGCCGCCCCCTCGCCTTGCCTCCCCCCCGCCCTGTCTCTTATACACATCTAGATGTGTATAAGAGACAGCCCCCCCGCCAGCAGCAGTTCATCCTCCGCCGCCGCTTCGCCTCCTCCTCCTCCTCCTCGGCAGCAACCCCCCGGCGATTCCCCGCGCCGCCCCTCATCGCCGGCCGCTTCGCCAAAACCGCCGCCGCCGACGCATCCCGCTCCCGCCTCCAGCCAGCCAGGACAATCATGGCTTCGGCAGCGTCCAAGCGCCTCGCCGGCAAGACCATCCTCATCACAGGCGCATCGTCCGGCATTGGCCGCTCCACTGCCCTGGAGTTTGCCCGCACAAGCCCCCAAGACTTGCGCCTCGTGCTCGCCGCCCGCCGCGTGGACGCTCTCCGCGACATCGCCGACCAGATCCGCAACGAGGTTGGCCAGGGCGTCAAGGTTCTTCCCGCCAAGCTTGACGTCAGCAATGCAGATGAGGTTCGCGGCTTTGTCGCCAGTCTGCCCGAGGAGTGGAGGGACATTCATGTCCTCGTCAACAACGCGTGAGTCTGGCCCCTTTCACTCATTCCGCCGTAGCCACGACAGACCGTTTGACGGGTGATTCAGTGGCCTCGTCAAGGGCGTGGCGCGCCCCCCGGACATCGACGAGCAGGACATGGATATTGTCTTCTCAACGAATGTGACTGGCCTCATCAACATGACCCAGGCCGTTCTCCCCATCTTCCAGAATCGACCAGACGGTGGTCAGGGGGACATCATCAACGTCGGCTCCATTGCTGGTATGAATGCCCTCGCCGCTGCTTCCCTGGAGCCCCCATGTTGACTGCTTCAGGCCGAGAGGCGTATCCCGGTGGCTCAATCTATTGCGCAAGCAAGGCCGCCGTCCGAAGCTTCACCGAAACCTTGAGGAAGGAGCTTATCGCCACCAGAATCAGGGTCATTGAGATCGATCCCGGTCAAGTCGAGACTGTAGGTCCCGACGCCAACACTTCAGCGCCTGAATTGACGTCTAGCTGCCATGCGCCAGACTCACGCTGACGTCTCTCCACTGCTAAGGAATTCTCTCTGGTAAGGTTCTACGGCGACAAAGCCAAGGCCGATGCCGTATATGCGTAAGTATTACCAACCATCCGTTTGCTCCAGGCGTTGCATCAGACGTACGCCATGTTGTGCGCTCGGCTGACCCTGCGCTTTTGGTAGTGGCGTTGAACCGCTTACCCCCGACGACATTGCCGAAGCCATCGTCTTCACCGCCACTAGACGGGAGAACGTAGTCATTGCCGATACCCTCATCTATCCCAACCACCAGGTCAGTGTATATCGCCACTACGCCATTCTGCTCGGATAAGCGCGTGCCTCCTTTTGCGCTCTTGTGCTCACAAGCCTACACTAGGCATCTGCACTCATCATGCACCGCAAAAACGCCTAAGTTGTTTCCGATCCGCTTCCAGATCCCATCGTTATATAGAAACCTGTGGAATTCTGCAAATACAAATTCGAAGTCAAGGCCGGCATCCTCCGTGATTGCTACCACTTGCCCTGTCCAGGACAGCCTGCATGCTCGCCTCGCCGTTTCCTGGCCAGAGCCGTGGAGTGTTTCACGTCTTCCGCGGACATTTGCTGCCCAGCGCGTCATGCACAGTCATGTTCGACGAGTTCTCTTGCCCCTAGCCCACCGGCGTGAGCGCCGTAACCATAAGATTCGAGAGAGGGGCCTTCTAGGGTCGATGAGGTTTGATCTACCAACGTTCCGTTAAGGATCCATTCTGAGTTGAATCGGACCCTTGCCGTCGCAAGCGACAGCACCGCTGGGATGACAATGACAAAGAAACAGTGATGACGGGCAGAAAACATGTCACGCGGTTCGACGGCACGTTGTCCGCCATGCACCGATTCACCAACAGATGGGTGGAGGACCTACGCTGCCGCGACGCTATGTGCCGTTCGTCATTGCCTTCTAGTTGTATGCTTTCACCGACACATGAAGAGGCAGATAAGCAACTTCCAGGCTCCTTACCGAAAATCATCCTAGACGCCACGCTTGCCGGGAAAAGAGAAAAGCAACGGTGCAACACAAGGCTTCCCGAACCGTGGCTCTGTACTGCGCACTAGCCCAGGTAGGAGAGCACATGCCCCCCGGCCAATCAACTTAGTCTCCTGTGTGCTGAAACAGCGGGGATATAGACTCGCCATAATGGTTGCGGCGGATGGCCTCGGCCAGGAGAAAGGAGAGGTCAAGGATCACCAGCTTGCTGATGTTCTTCGCCTTGTCCTGGTTGATGGGGAAGCTGTTGGTAACGACGATGGTGTCAATGCACTCGCATGCCTGCAGTTGCTCCAGGCAGTCTCCTCCAAAGACGCCGTGAGTCGCAATGCAGTACACCTTCTTGGCCAAGCCCTTTTTCACAACCGTTTCGGCCGCGGCGATCCAAGAACCAGGCTTGTCGATCATATCATCGACTATAAAGACTGTCCGGTTTCGCACGTTGCCCACGAGAGTAATCATGTGCTCCGCCTTTGGGTTCTGAAAGGCGTTGTCCTCCTCGTCGGAGCTGGCAGCTGGATCTCCACCTCCCCCGAGCGACTGCCGCTCAGGCACAAAGAATGACGAAGCGTGAGACATGGCCATAGGGTCGTCGTCTGGGATGCTGTTGTCGGTCGTTGACCTGGCAGGAGAGGGAAAATCATCTTCGACAATGCGGCCTTGCACGAGCCGACCATGAATGACCTCTTGTGCTCGGCGATCGTCATAATCTTGATCGCTGGATGCCGGCACATCGGGAGATCGCCGCGGCGGCGTCGCATCCGACTCGGCCGCGGCTGATGATTTGCTTGACGTCCTCAAGGAGCCCTCGGCGCGCCGCGTTGGCGAGCCAGTGGCGTCCGCAATGGTTCTCGTCTTCGGCGGCGGCGGGCTGGCTTCCCGCCCTTCTGTCCGCTCCCTCATCATTCGGCCCGAGTCGGCTGTGGTGCTGTCGACGGGTCGCTCGATCACGGGCTTCTGCTCGACGGCATCCAGGTGGCTCATGATCATGCTTGCAGTCATGTTTGTCCCGCGCTTCCGGTCCGTCGTGACCATGCCAAAGTTGAGTTTGAGGGCATCGGCAAGCGAAGTCACTCGCTTCGTACCACCCGCGTTTTTGGACACCACCACGGCCTCCCGCCAGTTGACAACATTACGTCGAATCCACTGGGCAATGATAGGCTCGGCATGCAGGTTGTCCACGGGACACTTGAAAAAGCCCTGCATCTGCGAAGCGTGGAGATCGACCGTGATGACATGCTTCACGCCGGCAACGCCCAACAAATTGGCGAGCATGCGCGCAGTTATCGCACCCCTGTGCGACTTCTTCTTTGACTGGCGGCTATATGGAAAGTATGGCAGAACGGCTAGCGAAATTGTGAGCCAGATAGGGGCGTCAAATGGAGCGTGGTCGGTGCGGGGAGATGCAGCAACGACTCAGACACACGGCTTACCTGTTACTTTGTTTGCCGAGCCGCCTTTGCATGCGGATATCATGATAAGCAGTTCCATGATGGAGTCGTTGATCCGAGGGCTGCCCGACTGGACGACGAAGACGTCTTTTTCACGAACACTCGTCAGGATCCTGACGCTGGTCTCGCCCTTCGTGCCGTCGGGTTAGCCAAGGCCCAAGTCCAGCAGAGGGAGTGACAGAGCCCTCTAGCCTCGGGAGACGGGGCGGGTGAAGCTGAGTGGGAAGCTCACATTGGAGAATTGAGTCAGCTCCGCGTCGGCAGGCGTCATGCCCAGGTTCGCACAAATCTGGCCCGTGAGAACTGGGCACGAGTTGCCGGCAAAGATGAGCGTGTTGCGCATCGTGCCTGTGCCCGTGCCTTGCAGCGCGCAGCAAGCTTGTCTGAGGGAGGGAGAGGATTTGGGGGGAGGTTGGGAGAGTGCGAGACGGCGGAGGAGGCAGCTTTTTTTTCTCGTCCCAGAAGTGCGTCGGATCAGTCAATCATGTGGTGGGTACAGTGCGCAGCGTTGTCGTGCACGGCTTCTGTGATGAGCCTGGCGGTGCGCTAGGCCCCGGCCAAGCGAAACCCCCCCACCATGGAGTGCACAGTGCTCTGACAACAGTGTGGTGTGGACCTCGGAGTGCTAAATAACTTTCAGCTCTTCCAGCTTGCCGGAAAGGCAGGGTGGGATGCTTTATAGTGAATGGCTACCTCTATCTCGCTGGCCTGCCGCGGAAGTGACAGATACCGCGGCATATCGCGACATCCCGCCCTGGTATCGAGGCACGAAGAAGCTTCTGGTCCAAAGACATGCCAATGGTTGAGCCCACGATCGGGACCCAAAGTGATCACAGCCCCTGACGTCTCGAGAGCTCCGAGAGCTTCCTGTCATGGGTATCCCCCACCTCGCCGCAACCCTAGAGCCGTATTGCGTTGTGCGGCCTCTTCGGGATGAGACCGCCGTCATCGACGGACCTGCTCTGGCATACCACATACTGCACGAATGTAGGCTCAATGGAGTCCTCCAACCCTCCTATCGACTTGTTGGAGGGGCGGCTGTTAGGTGGCTTGATGAAATATCCCGCCAACGCGTCGACGTGTAATTCCCCATGGACCAGCTCCAACCCGTTCACGCGGTTGCTGACAACCTGCACCATAGCAGGGCGATATACTTCGATGGCCACTTGCCCCTGGCAAAACGCCGCGTTCGCATGGAGAGGCTGCTGAGGAGCACTGCGCAAATCGCCCATCTGCACTCGAGCAACCCTCGAGGCTGTCCAGCGAGGCAACTCGCCCAGGGGCCCGAACCCGAGAAGGCAGACGTGTTTGCAACGGGAGCCGTTGCATCCCGGTCTTTCGCGGACCCCGCCTTTCTTGTACCAGCTGTCATTGAAGCTCTGAGATCATGCACCCAGTACAGAGAACGGGTACTCATGGTGCCTGGCGAGGCAGACACATTCTGCGCAAGGCATGTCTTGTCGAGTGGCGGGCTTGTTCTGACCTCAGACTCTGATCTGTTGGTGCACGAGCTTGGCGACGCCGAGGTCGTCTTCTTTCGAGATATCCAAAGACGCGCTGGCTCCGCTATCCTGTGTGGTAGCTATGGACCCAAGCGCATCTGCGAAAAGCTTGGACAGCCGTCGTCGGACGGCCTCGTCCGGCTGGCGTACGAGCAGAAACGCTCACCGCACGCATCGATGGCGCAGATACTCCGGGCTTGCTCGTCGGCTCTGTTACACGAGAACGAGTATGCTCAGTTCTGCAGCGAGTATCGGGGCTCGGAGATCAGACAACTTTCGCTACCCACTGCCGCAGGCCCGCTCGAGAACGGTAGCCTTGATCCGAGGCTGGCCGAGCTTGCCATTCAGCTCCACTCGGCCTCGGGCATCGCAGGTGACGCCCACATGTTCCTCCCTGTACTTACAGAGAACCCTGCTCGAGGCAGTGCGTGGGAGCACAGCACCGTTGTGCGGCAGCTGGCCTACTCCCTGCTGATCGGCCCGGACCCCGCCCTCGCGGTCTTGGAGTTCAGACGGATCCAAAGCACATCTCAGAAAGGCAGGCGCGTTGAAATTGACAACGCCGACCTTCAGCAGTATCTCGGTCAGCTTCTGTGCCTCCTGCAGGAGGTGTCCGTAATTAGTACGATAGACGAGTCGCGATTCTGGTTACTGGTGTGCCTGGGTCTCGATGTGGTCGAATGCCGGAGGAGAGACAAGGAATCGCTTGCCTGGGCTGCATTCCGGCAAGTCGCCAAATCGCCAGCTGCCAATAATAGCAGCATTCCCTGGGATGTTGTTCACGCCGTGGCACAGCTACAAGCCATGTGCTACTCTTTCCACTTGCTTCGCCAGGCGTTGTCGGTCTGCTCTGCTCGTGGACGGGACAAGACTCTGGCAGATGTTAGGCAACTGCAGCCCTACCTGGACCATCTGCCTCCGCTGACCGACTTCCCGGATATCAACAGTTTCAATCAGATCCGAAAGCTACCGGGACATGGTAGTCTTGTCATGAGCCTTGAACAATGCCTCAGCTTGCCAGCCCTCCGCCAAGACATTACAGGCCGTGATATCAGCGCCACAAATAATGGTCTTGGGAAGCCTGCCGACGGAAGAACTCTACGCACCAGGTCGGATCGCACGGCGGGGCAAAATAAGTTCGACATTTTGTCGTTAGAAGAGTAGGCCATTGGTGAGCAGGATCATGATAGAAAGCACGCAGGTGCATTTGAGCACCGCCGCACGCGTGTGAGACAAGCCAACGGAGAATATGATCGTTGGCAGATTGCGTCGCGTCTATCCGTGGGTGGTGACAACTAGGTGCGTTGTTCGACTACCTTCTACACTATTGAACAGAGACCCAAATGTGCTTGGGCCCGTGAATCTCGTCTAGGAGGCGGGAGAGCGAGCTAGAGCTGTCTTGGTCGTCCTTGACATCTTGCAACAGGTCTTCGTTTGGAACTCCACCCTCTGCGGTGCGGATGATCCTCCAGGCGCGCCGGAACTCATCACGTATGGACACAATACCGTTGTGTGTAACTGTTCGAGCAACGTTGTGGTCGAGCTCGAAAGGATCCTCCACAGCGAATAGATACCGATGGCGTACCTCTTTGACCTCATCGCCCTTATGTAGGGGCTGCCCCGGCTCTGCGTGGTCAGAAGCCATTTGGTCCCCTTTCCCTGGATGCGCAATCGCTGCTTCCTGGACCTCGAAGACCGTCTTTGCACCGGTCCAGCCTTTTTCCTGCTTGCTAAGAAGACCACCCTGGGTCCTCAAACTCAGCACATCTCTGCCCCAGTCGAATCCCTTGCCCTGGCCGCTGCTCAAGATGCCTGTCTGGGCGAAGTACTCGAAGAAGCCACGCAGGAGACGGCCGACGCTTTCGGTGTTGTGATTGAGCTGATGACTGGCTGCCAGGTGCATGATTTCGTTCTCATTTCGCCAGAATTGAATGTTATACCCGCGAAATTGAACGGTGCGCTCGAATTCCGCAGCAGGCAGGTCCGGGGGAGGGCGGGGCGCGAGTTGCTGCAGGTTGGGACATACAAAGGGCCGGGCGACATTGACGAGATAATGCAGCACCATCAGCACGTAGCCGTAGCTGCTCAAGGTTCCCCGATATCCGGAATTGATGGCCCGAACTTTCGCCCAATGTTTCACAAATAGAACCATTGGCCTCACTCTGGGATCTGTGAGAGAGTAGCAGCGCAGAAGCGCGGTGTTGTGGAGGGCCAGGTGAGCTGAGAAGTTAATGTCACATTGCACGCCAGCCCCGGTGGCTGGGAACTCTAGCGGATCTCGATGTCTTGCTCGTGGCGAGCTGGACGGCAGAATGAGAGGCTCAGGCAGCTCTCTGATCCTAGAGACCAGCTGCGACAGCTCTGGCGGAACGGGAACCAGGTAGCTGCAATCCCGAGGTCCAGTCCGGACTTTGTGCAGGGGAGAGCGAAGCAGTTCAATGTAGCGCCGAATATCTTCCACATCGGCTGGGTCGCACGAGTCCTGCTCGGTCGCTTTCTCGAGGTCTCTGGCAAGCTGGATAACTTTGTGTCGTTGGCCGACCTCTTCCAGATCGACTGGATCGGTTGAAGAACCCATCGCCGCTTTGGCTAACTCACGAGTCTCCTTGCCGAAAATACCCGAAATGTACCGGGCGGCGATCTCCAGCCGTGCCGCGCTCGTAAGAGGGTCCAAACCCTGGTGAAGATTGGCTTGTATGGTCCTTGCCCTCTGCAAATATTGGCTTGATGTCTCGTTGTGGCCCTGGGTGAATATGGCGAGTTGGACCGAAGGGATTCTTTTGATCTTGTCGAGGCACAGCTGCAGTTCCTTGGCGTACGAGGCAGGGTCAACACCAAAGTTTCGGTTCCACTGGAGGTTCTGCCATGCCAAAAGTGTCTGCTCAACTTGAGGCTGGAACTCGTACATGATTTCCCTGGCGGGCCATGTTTCCCAGGCTAGGAGCGCTTCCTCGCCCTCAACCTGCGTCAACACGGCTGAGAGGGAGTGATTGCTGGGCGCATCGTACAACGGCTTGAATGATAGCGAAGGGAACTTCTCGAGTTTTTCTCTTAGCTCCGAGTCGTGAAGGCCTCGTATAAAGGCCTCACACACACGGTTCAGGATGATCCAGTCGCGATCCCCAAACTCATGAGCGTTTGAGAAGGTGATGTCTCGTCCACCAGCCCTCCGTAGAATTCTTTTCGCCAAACCACAATATGCGGCTAGGGAGTTGTTGGGACCTTGCTTGAGCTGGAAGTGCCTCGTCTCCCCGCTGGCGTAGGGTATTTCGAACTGGGTGACTGGTGCAGCGCCTGGCTCGCCTTTCTTGGTTTCATTTTGGTCATCTTCGTGTGCTTGCGAGGCGACATCGTTATCATTGGCTTCTTCTCCAGGGCCTTCACGACCATCACCCACGCCACTCTCCCATTTCACGCGCTCCGCCATGAGAGCGTTGCGGAGAGAAGCTGGAGGCTGCTCGCAGAGTTTGATGATGGGCACCCGTGTGCGACTGAGTAGTCTTGCACCTAACCCAGCGTCAAGAAATGCTTTCTCAACCAGCCGTGGAATAGGGGAGCCTGGTGCATCAGGTTGTATTGTCGAGAGCGGAGAGAGCAGGCCTAGGTCCATGTCCGAAGCCTTTGTCGCGAAGCCTGATGACAAGCTGCCGAAGCATTTAAGCTCGACAGATGCGGCGGGAAAACTTGGCGCTCGGCATTCATTCACTTCGTGAAGAGAAATGACGTCGCGGCAGATGGCTTCAATGCGCTGTCGGAACGCCTCCTTCTCCGCTATCTCCGGCCTCTCGATCTCAGAGCTGGAGACGACATGGTAGCAGAGTTGATCCAACAGGGCAGCTTGTGCGGCTACATCCTCTGGCCGCACAAAGTGTCGACGCGAGCTCTGCGGTACACCCTGGCCATACCCTGGGGTATGTACTGCCGGATTTGGAGCGGACGGCCCTTGGGGGGGCTCGCCTCGACCCTGTTGCCGATTTCGCGGGCCCCAGGGCTGGCCTCCAAAGCTATGAGAGGCCGGCCTGTGCCACGGCGTTTGGCCATACGCCGTCCCCGGATGTGCTGCCCGCGAAGAAGAGCTTGGATGGGAGTTGACGTGGGGATGCCTTTGATCATGCTGCCTGGAGTGCGCGGCAGGATAGCCGAACCCCGGTCTGGGGTGTTGGGAAGGGGCCTGGGGCGGTCCCGGGTCTATTGGGATAGACAGCTGTGAGCTCATCTGCCGCCTCTGAGCTTGGTTGGGACGCTTCCTGGCCGGCCTGAGCGACCGTGTTTCGTTGGGTGCGCAGCTTGTCAATTGGGCCTCGCGGTCTGGCCCTGTGCTTTCGACAGCCACTGGCGGTTGTGACTGCAGTCCAGACGCGGCGGACGACACGCCGGCCTCATCGGAAGGGGCATTGGTAAGAATGAAGCGGCGAAGACGGCTCTCGAGTCCAGTTTCCTGGCTGTTGCCGCGGGGCCCCGACGCGTGGTCCTCTTGCCACGCCATGATGGTGGAGCCTTCGTATCTTCAGAAGACCTTGACACTTTGTCAGATGCGAGCGCCTTGACGATGGCAGCGGCGGTGCCTCTAAAGGGTTCGATGAGATGAGCTGGGGCCTCGTGGATTTTTTTGGCCAACGACCAGCAGCTGATTGCCGGAAGGGATGCGGCGCGAAACGTCTCCCTACTTTCGTCTGGCGTTGGGCGACCCGAGACAACGGCTGTCTTTTGAACCGTGGGGCTGCCAGCACCTAGTATGCACGATGGAAGGCAGGAACGATACCCATCCGGTGTACGAAGTACAAGCAGACCTGTCTTCAAGGATGGTCCGAGGCTGATGACGATGGCCTGCCTTTCTCGGCCAAAGGACTCGGTCCGGCTGGCAGGAGTTGAGGTATTGCGAAGCACACAGAATGAGCTGAGGTAGCTGAGCTCGAGTGTTGTTCGCAGCAGGCAACTTCTTGTACAATCAATCTCCATCTTTCCAGAGGTTTGGGGGGCCCAAACTTTCAAGGTACGGGGGCCCTGGAGGGCCGCTAGCGACCAAAGCGGGCACTCTTACCTAGTACCTTAGCCAATCCGACCGTCTTGGCCGGTACTTTTGGGACTTGAACATGGATGTGCTAGGTACCTAGTAAGTACCAGCAGCCGTTCGCCCGCGATATCAGGCGTCTGTCTTTTATCATTTGACAGCCACAGCTGCCGTATTGTATGCGATGGCGTTTGAGCTGCTCATGGGATAGCGGGCTAGATGGATAGGAACTTGGCTCCTGCTCACTTATCTTTCTTGGGAGGAAACACCCAGGTATGTACTGTCCCTCAGTACCAGCGAGCGCCTAGTAGATACTTCGGAGTGTAAAATGGAGTGCCTGGGTACCTACCTACCTGTGCCTGCTGCAGTGCCTGAAAAGTACTAGGTACCGAGTAGGTTCCCAGCACCCATCGTCGAGGCCTACTCAGCACCCCCTACCTAGGTACCTAGTACTCCAAGCAGGCAAGCAGGTGGCATTCAGTGGTGCTGACCCACAGGTACGTACCTAGCAGGTGCCGCTCACTGGTGCTGCTCGCCCCACAGTCCTGTTCGCGCTCTGAGAGTAGGTAGGGTACTTAGTACCCACGAGCAGGAACTTTCCATTGCAGGCCGACGTCCTCTGTCCCCTGATTGGCCTCAGCACAGGCACACTTCCGTCGAAGCTCTGGGCAGGCTCCGCCCACCCGTTTGATCATTCACAATCACGACCATCCATCAGCCTGCCGTCCATCACGTCAGTCTCGCGGCCGATTCTTACAACGGGCATCTACATTCGCATGCTCTGCCTCGACCATCGGGCTTCTGTTTCCTCGCGGGCCGACACAGCGCTTTCGCCCAGCTTGCTCATTCCGCTCAGAGAGAGCATCACACCGAGGTGCAAACGACTTCTCGACGCGATACCCAGGCAAGAACAAACCACAGTGTCACGACCTGCCGCGCCGACCAGCCGTCGATAGGCAGGCTGCCGAGTGGAGCAGGGCGGTCCTCGAAGAGGCTCAAGTTGTCGCTACCTCAGGCACCGCGGCCGCCGACAGCTATCAACGCGTCTCTCCTCACCCGTACCGTCGCGACGTGGTGCAGCCGACACCACTGCCCCCTTTGCGATGAGCGCCCCTCCGCCAGGTGGCCGAAAGCCGAATCCTCTGCGCCCGATGCGCAGAAAGCCCCGACCAGCGAACCCGCTCGTCGCGAGAAAGCCCCCCGCAAACGCCGGCCAGAATGCGTCCGCAGCCTCCTCCCAGGTGGCCAAGCAAAACGGCGCCAAGCCCAGCACTGAGGAACTACGGAAGCAGTTTGGGGGCTGGTCGGAACCTCCCCCGCAATACCAATACAGCGACATCCCGATCATGACGACCAAAAAGGCCCTGCTCGAAGGTGTCCGATACCATCTCATGAAGTTTTCCCAGTCGAAGATTACCGACAAATCCGTCGATCCGACTGACCAGGATGCCTTCACTCGACCAGTGACCTTGCATCGACGGGATGCTCGACAACCACCACCGGGCAGGGCCGTCAAGGAGGAGGCACCTGAGCCGACTCCAGTTGATGAAACAGAGAGGGAGAGGTTGGCGCAGATCAAGGCCGAGAGAGAGGCGCAGCGCGCCATTGATCAGGCCAAAATCGCCCCCGTCGTCAAAGAGAACAAACCCCAGAGGCCCAAGAAGCAGAAAGAAGAAAAAACCATGTTCAACAGGGCCCCCAAGTCGGAGGCTGCCAAGAAAGAGGCTGACCTACGCTACGAGGAGGCCCTTCCTTGGCACCTGGAAGATGCTGATGGGAAGAATGTGTGGGTTGGGAGCTACGTCGCCGCGCTCTCCCAGTCCAACGTCGCTTTCATGATCGACAAGTCTGTCTTTCGCATGGTGCCGTTGGAGAAGTGGTACAAGTTCAACTCGAAGCCACCCTTCCAGCCCTTCACCATAGACCAAGCCGAAGCCTTCATGAACAGGAAGGTAGACGTGGGACGCTGGGTGATGAAGGATGAGGAGAAAAAACTCGGTCAAAGTGACTTGGAAGCCACCCGTCGACTGCTGTACGGCCGTGGTCAGATGGTGAAGACCGAGAGCGACACTTTTAAGGCCGCATCCAGGCTGGAGAAGATGGATCACGACGAGCTCGACGTCTCAGGCGACGAGTTTCAGGATGATGACGAGGCCACTTATGTGGATCGCAACGAGGACGAGGACACCAAAGAGTCGAAAGAGCGGATCCGCCGTGAACAGCTCGGCGCAAATCTCTTTGGTGATGGTGACGAACAGGAAGTCGACAAAGAACTCCACGAGCAGTTGAGGGAGGAGCTGGAGCGACAAAAGTATGGCAAATCTACAAAGAAAGCCCTCATTAAAAGAGACCGCGAGGATATCTACCAGAGTGACGACTCGGAGGAGAACCCCTGGAGCAGTTCCGTAAGTTTAGTTCCCGCATTCTGCAATGCACGGTGGCTGCTAACTGCTTGCAGTCTGATGATGAGTCTAGCGACGAGGAAGACGAAGAGGGCAAAGATGACGAGAAGAAAGAAGGCGAAGGGAAAGACGGCCACGCCGAGTCCAAGGACAAAGCCAAGGGTGGTGCTCCGAAAGGCACGCTGACGCCGCAAGGCAAGCAGAAACATGGTGATCTCGTCAAGAAGACGAAGTCCCTGAAGCGGGCTGGATCCCCGGCCCTCTCCGAGTCCAGTGGGAACGAATCATCGCGGAAGAAGATGAAGAAGTCTAGCACCACAGCGCCTGGCAGTCGAGCGGGCACTCCATTGCCACAGGGCACCGCAGTTCGCCGCCCCAAGGTCGGAGGGGCAGGCTCTGGCAGCGACGGTGAAGCGACAGGCGGCGAGATGTCGGATGGTGCCGGCCCAAGGAAGAAGATCAAGGTCATGGGCAGCAGCGCCAAGGGGACACCAGCGGTTTCTAGAGCGGGCAGCCCCAATCCTGCTCCGGGTGGTAAGTCGACAAAAATATCTTACGAACTACTCGTCTTCGGACAGCAGGACCCTCTTTTGCAGCGAAGATGGACTAACAAGACCTCCAGCATCTCCCTCCTCCCAGGCTGGCGGAGCCATCGAACCGTGGGAAATCTTGGAGAAGATTCCACCCGAAGGAATTGCTATCGGCGATCTCATCAAACCTTTCCAAGGCCGCGTGGGCGATAAGCCTGGTCAGATGCCCAAGACGGAATGGATTCGTTTGGTGAAGCAGCTCTGCGACTATGGACCGGACAAGCGCCTGCGCCGCAGGAAATGAGAGTGACGTCGTGCCAATCCACTTGGGCATCAGCCGATAAACGACGCTGCCGTGGGGCATTGCTGGCGGACTGAGCGGCCAGCTCCTTGCCACGTTGTTGGGCACATCTGAGAACGTGCGATGGTGTACGCATACGTAGGCAGACAATATCTTAATTGCACAGCCCCGAATGACTCCGCGCCAGTATTCGAGCTGTGAATGCGAAGAATGGTACGACGCAATGGATATTGGGTATCATTGATGGTGTCTACTCGTCCATCTGCCAGGAGTACTGGAGATCCTTGTTCCTCTCCCGTCTGTTGATGGCCTTGAACCGCTCGGCTTCGAAGCCATTACCCCGATCGACGCCATCCCACCGATAGCCGGGCTTGATTCCGAAACGATTAGGCGGAGCGGCGCCAGAGTAGATGGGGCGTCTCCTGGACGACCTGCCACCTGGCCCTGGAGCCGCGTTTCTTTCACTCATGAACTGCGCCATAGGGTCATTCCATCGCTCCCTCTCCTTCAATTCCCGGTTCATGTCCTCGTCTTCTGCTGTCCTGGCGAACGACATGACTTTCGCATCCTCGAGGAGCTCCCTCCGCCGGCGTGTCTCCTCAAGCTGAACCTGTCCTTTCAACGCTTCCTTGGCTTCAGCTTCTTTGCGCTCGGCCTCGGCAGCGGCTCGACGAGCCTCGGCTCTCTTCATGGAGATGTCTATTCTCCTGCCGGTGGCGTCGCGGTAGACTGTCTCCTCCTCTTTTGCATGCTTGCGATGCCTCTCAAACTCTTCTTGTTCCTCTCGCTGCCGTCTCTTGAGCTGGGCCGACACAGCAGCTGCGGTCTGCAAGCCGGCATGTGTCCCGTCGCTCATCTTGACAGCTCCCTCATTACCCTCGACGACGGGGGCCTCGTCGTCGTCCGCTTTGGCGGCCGCGTTCTCCGCGGCGACGGCGGCAAGAATGGCATCTGCTGCAGCTGAGTCGTCGATGGACGGGCCAGCTGCGTCCCTGGGCCCGCCCACCACCTTCCAGCCGCTCTTTTTGGCCTTGCGGAATTCTGAGGTGGATCCGGCAACAGTCACAGGGCCGTCCTCGTCGTCATCTGCTTGCTGCTTGCCGGCGGTGACCCATGTTGAGTCGTCATCGTCGGTGATCAGCAGCCCGGACGACGGAGCATGCTTGCGCTTGCGTTTTTTAGAGGTAGGCTTAGGGTCGGCGACGAGATAGCGAGATGCGAGATAGTTTGAGAGGTCTGCCGGCATGTTTGAGGCGAGAATCTAGGGGCAAGGGCGGTGTCGCGAAACACAAAGTGCGAGCAGGACGGAACAGAATGACGAGCTCGCCCAGATTTGACTGAAATGGCGGCCGAGCCAAGATTTTGGATCCAACGCAGAAGCCGTCGTTTACGCTCGGGGCCGGTGCGGTGATGCCGACGGCGGAGGGGATGGGACCTGGCATGCGCAGACGACGATATATCTTGGCAGCGAAGTGTTGAATCGGGAGTTTGTAGCAACCGACCTTGTCGCGCCTACAAGCAATGTGCCAGAAGCACAAGCGGCTCCGACGTCAGCCATGCAGTTAAACGGGTGCGGCGGATGCTCACCATGGACCGTTGTCACTGCGCGCCCCCCGGTGGCCCCGCTACAAGAATGTGGGCAGCACAGCACCCGACTACCACCTGACGGATCCAAAGACCCCGGCAGCCCTAGGTACCCAAGAGATCCTAGGTATACCTTCTGTGGCCGGATGACAGTGGACTTGCTTGCCGTCTCACACCAGCTTGGCCCATGCCGCAGCTACACCAACATCTGTGCCGGCTGCAACCTCCATCGATACCCTAGGGACCTTATGCGCCTCGCATCTTCAGGCGACAATACAACCGCCGACCCGAGCGAACCTGTGCCTCTGCCCCGCGCTGTCAAGGCTAAGACGCTCGGCTGGAACATGCGGAGCCTGCTTCGAGCATCGACCGCCCGTGATCTTGTCCCGCCGCCGCCGCCGCCGCCGCCGCCACCACGACGAAAGACGCGACCCAGCAACACAGTCGGCGATCTCGGAGCACTCGCCCATCCGTCTTCATGCCAGCGCCCGGCCGGGATGAGTCGCCGCAGGAACCGATTCAAGCTCTCGCCGTGGTTATGAAGCTGCCCAAGACGCGACACTCGACGCCAGCCATGGATTCTCTTCCCCTGTCGCAGTCCGAGTCGAACCTCACATACCGGAGATCAAACCCTTCCGCCGCATCTTTATATGCATCGACATTATCGCCGCCAGGCTCGCGCCCGATGTCCCCGGCTGGTCGCAGCTCGCCGTCGCGCACCCTCTCAGGAGCTGTCTTTGAGCCGTCGCCGAGTCGGACGCTTGCCGACAACGCTGCTGACAATCCTGGCGAGCCCCTCAATCTTATCCTTCAGTCCTTCGTCCCCCATGTGGCCATTTACGCGTCGAAGGACACAGAAGCGCTCATCGGGGAGAAGGGCTGCAAGGGCGGCCTGTGGGAACTGTTGCGGCCGTTTGGAGAAAGGATACAGGGCAAAGTCACCGTCAGAGACAGCAATGGCGTAAGCCGGGCCTTCGAAGACTTTTCAATTCGGTTCACCAAGTTCGGGGACGGTGTCGGGCACCCAGACCCTTCCGTCTCTGGAGCGAAACAGCCCACGTTGCAAGGGCTTGGTGGCCCCAATGGCGTTCAGGAAAGCACCTCCAGAGACCGCAAGACGCTGGCAGATGTGGAGGCCGTGGTCGAGCGACACCTATCGTATGCCGAAGAGTCGTCCCTTGGGCAACCGCACTACGGCCCTATTGCGAGACCGGGACAGCAATTGGAGACAGCATCTCCCTACTATGCCCTCTATATGCGGCGGCTGCTATCTGGGCTACCCGTTACACCCCACGAGACATTCTCACATCCAGTGGCATGCATTATAGCCATCAGCTCCAGAAACGAGGCTCCCATTGAGGAGCTAAGGAGCTTGTACGCCGAGACCAACCAAGGGGATCGTAAACTTCCGCCATGGGTAGACAGCGAGTATCTCAGGTACTACGTGCTGGTTCATGACGAAGAGAATGACGACATTAGCAGATCCATGGCGCTCTTTGAGCAGATGAAGCGACACCTGGGGTTGCACTGCCATCTGCTGCGTCTGCGGTGCAGCCAAAGCGCGGAAACGGATGACGATAGCATTCCCCTCCCACGAAGTGACTGGATGTCAGCCGCTGAAGAATTGGCTGAGCTGCGCAGGAGCGACAGCGAGGAAGAGTTCGCGGACCCTACCCGATACATCTTCGAGTCGGACGCCACGGCTATTCGCACATTCGTCCGAGAGATGGTGACGCAGTCCATCATTCCGACGATGGAGCGACACGTTTCCGTTTGGAACGACCAAGTGGCATCTCGGCGTAGAGGCATCACTGGAAGGTTCATGAACCTGTCACGGAAATGGGCCGGGTTCGGAGGCGGCTCTCGATCGTCGTCGGGCGGCAGCGGTGGCGCAAAGGACAATTATGACACGTCGGGGTTCTACCGTGCAGACACACCAGAAGCCATCATGAGGAAACTCGCAGACTACGCCTTCATGCTCCGTGACTGGAAGCTGGCTCACTCGACATACGACTTGTTACGGTCGGACTTTAGCGAGTCCAAAGCGTGGAAGTACCACGCGGCGGCTAACGAGATGGCGGCCATCAGCCTGTTGCTGATGCCACAAAGCCTAACTTCCAAGAGTCGATCGGAAACTATAGACCAGATGCTCGAGTCGGCGTTTTACTCATACGGAACCCGATGCAGCGCGCCGTACGGGGCGACGCGATCCCTCGCCCTCGGCCTCGAGCTTTTGCGCCTGCGAGGCGGCTCTCACATCGACGACGCTGGGAGATGGGGACTCCGCCTGCTCGAGTCCAAGATGCTCGGCCGGGTGGCAGACGCTCTGTTCAAGGAGCGACTAGCCGTATGCTACGCCTCCAGACCAGGCGTTGGCAGCTTCGGCTGGGGGAGCCGCCATCGCAAGTCGGCTGCGTGGAGTGTCCTGGCAGCGGATGCATGGTGCCAACAGGCTAAGTACATACCTGCGGAAAGGTGCTTGGCCGATGCACAGAGGACTTATAGCTCGCTTCCGCACAAGCGTGGCATCAGCGCGTTCGCGAGCGCCATGGAGTACATGGCTTCCCTAGAGCACGAGCTGGCGGAGAAACTTCCGACATGGGGAGGTGCGGCGAGGAATGAGACGGAGGACGAGACAGACGAAGACGAGATTGACGAAGAGAGCGAGGCCCTGACGGATCTGCGGGCGCGTCGGGCAAGCGTGACGGCCCGTGCTGGAGTGCTGGAGACGGCGCCGCTTCACGGGGAAGCACGAGACGAGGACTCGGCGGCGCCGGCAGCCTCCGAAGGCTTCGACTGATTGTTCTTCTTCATGTGCCCCGACATTACTTGGCGAAGATGGTGTTTCTCCATAGACTTGATGACGGTGGCAGCGCAGCCTAACTTAGAGCGGACGGGGAGCGGACCCTGCGGGAGAGACTTGTGCATGTGGTGGGCAGACAAATATCACAAGCCGTGACGACTCGGAAGGGCATCGCAATTTCATTGCCCTTGGTGATGTGCCGCCATGCTTTCGAATGCAGTACCTGGGCAGGCAGGCTGGCGCTGCGCTGCGCTGGCGGAGAATCCGCGGTGCGCAACAGTATGTAGAGGCGTGAGACTGAGGTGGTCCAGCTGGGGTTGTTGGTGGTGTAGTGCGCCTGGTGGTGCCTGCGCCCCCAGAGCAATGAATGACGTCTCCCCTCTGCGCTTTGCCGATAAGATTTCCATACCAACAAGCCCACGCTTTGGCTCGTTCACCCACCTCCAGCCGCCTTCCCCTTGCAAAGCACCCACGACGCGCTGCCATTTTCGCCGTCGCATCTCGCCGCCTCCCTCGCCCCAAGTCCAAGGCCGGTTCGAGTTCCTTGCCGCGGCGCGAGCACTGGCAGATAATTAGCTGCGCGGCGCGTGCGACATCGAACGAAGTTCCTCGGTCGGGTCCGCAGGCGCGGGCGCAACCATGGGTGAGCTCGCCGACTACCTGGCCCAACACGACGCCAACTTTCGAAAGTAGGTGGCACGCCTCTGCCGATACATGCGCAGCATGCGGCGGCTTCCAAAATGCTGACGATACGGACTTAGGGCTCGGCTGCCGGCGCTCTACTCAGACTTTCGTCCGCAGAGAACCCTGAACCCCGATGGCTATCGTGCCAACGTGTCGGCCTGGCGCGGCGCCATCGCGAGCCTTGCTTCGAGCGGACTCCTTTCCCGCTGCCTCTCCGGCTCGAGCGCCTTTGTGTTGAATCTCGACGAGTCGCTGCCGCGCTATTTGGAAAGCAGACAGTTCGGGCAGCCTCTCGCCCTTGGCACGGCCCTTCGCGAAGCCATCGCCACCAAAGACCTACTTCCGGTTCAAGAATTCCTACAATCCGAACAAGGCACCGGCGCGCGCTCCTGGGTAGGACTGCCGTGGAGCGCGCTCGGCTGGACGCTGCGCCAGCTGGGTATCGTGGATCCCGCGCGAGGCGAAGACAGGCTACCAAAGGGCCGATACGTTATAACGCAGAATGTGGACGCCGCGGCGGCGGAGTTGGCACATAGAATGGCCCATATGCCGTCAAAGTTTGATCGCATCTTCACAAAGGCGCAGTTCCAGCGCGACTTTGCCACAGACCTCCTGGGCAGCCACGTGCGACTATCGGATACCGACTTCGACGTGCTGCTTACCTTCCTGACTAGAGATAGAAACTTGGTCGAGTACGACGGTCATACCATACGAATTCGCGGGGGGCCAGATGAGAAAAGGGGCATCACGGAGGAGGACTCGGCCATCGCGTCCATCAAGGAGCTCACGGCGAGCCTCAAGCACCAGGCCAAGCTTCTCAACACACGCGTCGACGAATTGGGAATGGAGGCTAAGACTGCAGTCTCCCGCAACAATCGTGTGACTGCACTGGCTGCTCTCAAGTCCAAAAAGATTGCCGAGTCCTCGCTTGCCCAACGGTATACGACGCTGAACCAGCTTGAAGAAGTGACGGCGAAAATAGAGCAAGCCTCAGACCAAGTGCAGCTTGTCAAGATAATGGAGTCATCCGCCGGTGTTCTCCAAAGCCTCAACTCTCAGGTTGGCGGCACCGAAAGGGTCGACGGAGTCGTGGATAGACTTCGCGAGCAGATGAACGACACGGACGAGGTTGCTGCCATCTTGGCCGACGCGACTGGAGCTACGGTAGATGAGAGTGAGATCGACGAAGAACTGGAGGCTCTGGAACGGGAAGCGAGGAATGCAGAAGAGGCAGACCAACGCAGAGAGGCAGAGAGGAGGGCCGCTGTTGAGGCTGAACAAGTACAGAAGCAGCTGGATAGTCTGCCTCGGGTGCCAGACCAGGAAGTCGTGCCAGACAGGCAAAAGTCGCCGACTCCGACATCTGAGACTGGAATCGGCAACCTCTCCTTGGGGGAACCAGCCGGCGAACGAGTCAAAGAGAAGCCGCAGGCAAATTCCGAAGCCATTTGAAGAAGGGGCACGTGCACATATGAGACCAGTATCGGAGTACAGCAAAGGCAGGAGTGTGGTAAATTTCATCTTGGTTCGGCTGTCGAGCGAGCTGCGCCGTCATCACGCGTCTCTATAGGCTATGTTGTGATAATTGCATGGACATCGTAAAACATGTTGGGGCTGGAGCTACTGCTCAGAGTTCCCATCCTCGTCCACCAACACGCGCCAGAAAATGGAGCCGCCTTTGCTATAGATAGATGCTTGGTACGTTTTGCAATCAAAGAGCGCCAAAGTCCTGCCGAATTTCCAGAGCAGACTGGGTTGCAGGGGTGGCAGCTGAGGCATCTGCGACTTCCCCATCGAGTTGAAGCCCTGGGTCATTGAGGGGTATTGAGTGATCGTTTGCGCGAGAGTCTTCTGATCCGGGCTGTACTGATGCGCTGCCGCCGAACTGTGGATCCAGGCGCCCGTCCTCTGGAGGAGTCGTCCTCGAAGCTTCGTGGTATACTGGAACATTCTGTCCAGGGCTTTCTGTGGGTATTCTTGTCGTCGTGTCCGCCGACTCATCATCCTGTGCCTTCGCTGCCTCAGCTCGACTTTTTCTCGCGCTGGCAATCAGGTCTTTGAATGAGGAGTCGTGTTTGGCGGCCCAGGCCGCACCGTCAAAGTCCTTGTCCTTTATGGCGGCGGCAGCTTGCAATGCCTTGCTGGTCGTCGGTGCGCGGCCACCTTGCGTACGTTCCCATATTTCCAGATCTTGAAGCAGCTCGGAGCGCTTCTTAGGTTGAGCTGCGTCACAGTTGGCGTTCCAAACAGTCAGCCATTCCCGGTGGCGTTTCTCCAACAATACCCGGGGCCCTTGACTGGATATCCCCAGCTCGTTCAATTTCTTGCGAAGGGCTTGCTCCTTGAGCATGGAGTAGTTCAGCGCGGGTAGACGATCAATCGTCTTGTCTTGTCGTTGTTGACGATGGCCAAACGAGGGTGTACTGCTGCTGCTTGTCGGGGCCGGCGATGGCCCAGGGCAAGTCTCGAGGTGTTGAAATACTTGCCAAGCCTTCATTTTCTTATCGCAGACTGGGCAGGGGACCAGGCCATCGGCTACGGAGAGGTGTGAGCGGTTGATACTTGAGCTGAACGGCTCGGGACACTTACGATCGTCAGGAACATATTCGTCTTCGTCCTCGTCGTCCGATGCTTGTATTACCTCCTCCGGTGCCCCGTCGTTCACTTCTGCAGCCGTTGCAGCTTGATCGGTGCGGGTTTTGCTCAGGCGCGCAGAACTTCGTAGCCTCTTGGGTTCGGGAGCAGCGTGCGTCGCAGGCGATGTTTGGTCGTCGGCTTTCCTTTTCGGCGAGCGTTCCCTCGACTGAATACTTCTTGCGAAACCCAAAATCGCCTCTCTGGCTCTCGAAAACGCCTCGGCGGCCTCCTCGACGGACCAGTTGCATCGAAGCTTGAGCTCCTGTTCCGGGGCCCTACACAACGGGCATTTGCCGTCGTTGGACAATGCCCTCCTGATGCAAAGAGAGCAAAAGGTGTGGGAGCACGACGTAATCATGGGCGTCTTGTAGAAGTCCTTGCAGACCTGGCATCGGATCGCGGCCTCGACAGAGGCGAGCCCAGACAAGGGCGTCGATAGCCAGTCTGTCGAATCCGGCACGTCGTCGCCGGGCATTTCTTCGACACCGAGTTGGGACGTTGTGTGATGTAGGTGCGCGTAAGGATTTCGAAGCCACGGGCAAGTCGTACTCGTGCTTCTTTCGGAGGCGCCACTTGCATCGGCGGTGCGAGGGATTTGAGACGACGATTCCCTTCCAGCGCCCCGGGATCAATGCGTGGTCTCGGAGCCTACAGTGAGCGGCGGTTGACCCACTTCGGAGCTGCATCCTTCGCGCTTGCACGCGTCAACGGGATGATGGAGACGTCCGTCGGTGGCATCGATAACGGAGCAATCATGCTTAGAGTGGTTTCTCAGCACCTGTCGCAGAGCGTGGTACCGCTCTATGAGTAGTAATGCAGAAACCGGGTCGGTTCCAAGGTGGCTGGCACGTGATGTCGCGTCACCCATCAACGCGTGTCGCGGGCCAGCTGCAACTGGCGCCTCATCCATTTGTACCAAGGGTCAACCACACTCTCTCACACTGGTTCGTTGGCGACGAAACAGGGACGGTGATAGTGTGCTTTTACTCGTTCCGAGGCTGTCGTCCCCGCCACAATGGACGAACATCAAAAGTTCCTCGCGGATCGCTTGCTCAGCGAGGAGCGTCCAGTACGTCAAGGCGCGTGCCTCAGCTGCATCAGTCACTAACTCGATTGCTCAAACTCAGATTACATACCGCCTGCTGAGCAGAGCCCTCGGCGTTCATGTAAATACTGCGAAGGGGTATGACTGCCTGGGCTCGTCCTCTCTCTAGCTGCGCTAACTGTTGGGCTGTAGCATGCTCTACGACTTCCACAAGTACCAAAACGCTCAGCGAGCGGGCTCGGTCCATGCATCATATCTCATCTTTGGTGTCAAACACTCAAAATCCCGGCAAGATGATGCCGACGTCGGGATGAGCAGCTCTATGCCAGAGCCTGACCCGCTCTCTGATGACGTACCAACCTCGACCCTCACACTCGTGAGCGAGGGCAGACTTCAAGGTTGGATGCAGTCAGACGCAGTCTCTCGTTCAAGCTTTCACTGACAGTGCCCCCAGACGTTTTGTCCGAGTACCAAGAGGTGACGGCAATCCATATATACAGTCTCGCCCCTCACCAAAATTGCGACCGCAGTTTGCTCACCGATACTGCCAAATCCATCTCAGAATATCCTCGGGAGAAAGACCCTGCCACTGCCGCAAAGAAATTTGGAATCATTCTGAATCCGACCCTTCGCAAGCGCGATCGAGGGGGCCGCCCGGTGACCTCGGCTCTCACTGCGCAGAAGCCAGCCAAGGCCGAGCCGGTGCAGAAGCCGGCGCCGACGAATTCATCCACGCCAAAGCCAGCACCAGCGCCGCCTGCCAAGTTGAAGAGTGAGCCCTCTGACACTGCGTCAAAAATCCCCACGCCATCATCAAGCTCCAGCAAGAGCGCCGGGCCCACGTCGAAGCGCGGAGGGCCCGGGGGCATCATGCAGTCCTTTGCTAAGGCGGCTTCAAAACCACCCAGCAAGCCAAAGCCCGCGCCCGAAAAAGAAGACGATGCCGCTATGGCGTTGTCTGACGATGGAGAGGCCGATGACGCCGACATGCCCACCGCGAAGGAGACCTCTGCGGATGCAACGACCACCAGAAGGACAAGGAAGGAACGCGAAGATGAATTGAGGCGAATGATGGAAGAGGACGAGGACGAGGAAAAGGATGAGAACAGTGAGCAGAGTGACGAGGAGATGCACGACGCCGTGGAACCTGAACCGGAGGCTGTTGCCGAGCCGCAGGCCGAAGAGAAGTCCGAGGACAAAGAGCCAGCCGAAGTTGTCTCAAGCACTGGGGATGGGCGGCGCAGAGGAAAGCGCCGCATAATGAAGAAGAAGCGCATCTTGGACGATCAGGGATACATGGGTAGGTATCTCGGCAGCGTCTTCGTCTTCCAAACGTCTTCGCTAACATATCACCGCAGTGACGATTCAAGAACCTGGCTGGGAATCCTTTTCGGAGGACGAGGTGGCTCAACCGCCGGCAAAGAAAGTTACCCCTACACTCACCCCGTCATCCTCGAATCCAAAGGCGAAAAAGCCTACAGGAAAAAGCGGGCAGGGCAACATCATGTCATTCTTCTCCAAAAAGTAGCCAAGAATTGATTGTGGCTAGCCCGCAAACTCTTTTTCTGTCGGTAGTTCAAGATGATGCGGTGCCCATGCACTGGGCTCATTTGAAGGTGTCTACTCCGGGTGCTTGCGCACCGCCTACACGCGGTTGATACAATTCCCTATTGTCCCGCATTCTCTTGAGGAGCCTGGCCAGCCTTTGGACGCCCTCAACAAGGCTCTCTTCGGACTCCCATGCGAAGCACAACCGTATATCCGCGTCAAACCTTGCGCTGTCCTCGTCTCCAAGCACCTCAAACATGTTGCCGTAGCCAATAACCAGGTTCTCCTCGTCCATGGCAATTTCGGCCACCGCCGTCGTGGGGAGGGGATGCCCGGGTGGAAGCGTCAGCCAGACAAAGTAGCCCCCGTATACCTGGCTGCCAGCGAGACTGCTCTGGCGCGTCTGCACACCCAACGGGACGAGGAACTCGCGGATGGCGTCCATCATCAGCCTGTGTCGCCGCTGCAGGGACGGCCGCACCCTGGTTTCAATGTGCTTTTCCAGTTCCCCTGTGCGAACCATGTCACTCAGGATGCCGGCGCAGAGCTGGCTGGGAGCTCCGCCAGACATCGTAGAGGCCGTCTTGCTGAGCCCCGTGACGAAGGCCGGCGACGCCTCCACCCAGCCGGTCCTCACTCCGGGGCCCGAGATCTTGCTAAAGGATCCGTTGCTCACGGCATGCCCAAACCCCTGCGGGTCGTTCGCGGCAGGGCCCATTGCGAGGTCGATGTCGCACAGGCGAGGGAGCCGCAGCTCCGGCGGGCGCTCCGGGGTCGGATCGCCTTCGAGTGGCCACTGCAGGAAGTCGTAGACGTCGTCGCAGACGATGAGAGCGTCGCGCTTCCTCGCCAGCTTGACGAGGACCTCGCGGCGACGCAATGTCATTGTCTTTCCGGAGGGATTGGCGCACGTCGGGACTGTGTATATGACGTGCCTGTACAGCTTCCGATGCGGACCAGGCTCCTTGAGCGTCTGCAGGGCGCGGTCAGTCGACGAGTGTGTCCAATATAAGCATCACACGGCTCGTGGACGAGAGGTGACACACCTGCGCCGCTGGGCGGCTGCCGGCCTCGTCGTCGACCTGTTGCATCATCCTTTCGAGGACCTCGAGGTCCACGCCCTCATCGTCTTCGGGCGAGGCCCGTAGCTTGCCATTCAGCCCCGAGTCGGCAAAGATGCCGCAGGCCAGGTAGTAGCAGGGGGCGATGACCCAGACGGCGCGCGTGTAGCTAGGGTCGGTGAAGCTCTGGAGGATGCATGCGAGGCTCTGGCTCGCGCCGCCCGTGATGCATAGGCGTCGCGGGTCCGGCTGGACGCGGTAGTGCCGACCCAACCACTGGGCGAGACCCTCGCGGAGCGGCTCGTAGCCCGGATCGGCGCCGTACTGCAGGATCGGGGTGTACTCGGCCATGTCCGAGAGGACGCGCTGGCAGGCGGCTGCCAAGAGGCTCGCGGGCAGCACATCTGGCGAAGGCCAGCCGCGCATGAGATTGACCGGTTTTTCCGGCCGAGGCATGATTGCCGTGTGGGCAGCCGCCTGGGTCGTATGAGACGGAGCTGACGATTGGTGTGTGCTATGTAGAAGGCGTTGTGAAGGACGGACAGTGTACTTTCACGCAAGTGAAATACTGAAGCGTGCTGTTGTTGATTGAAAGGTCAATCTACCAAAGGGGGACTCGTGGCTGTTGCTCAGAAAGCCTCACTCCCTGTTTGCGTCCCTCTTCATACATATGCCGAATAGAGGTGGCGCCGATCTCGCTCGCAGGACCAGGTGAGTGAGCTATGTGTTGAGGTGAGGGAGGCAGTATCCGTGGCGAGGAGGGGGGCCGCACACTTGTGGCGGGGCAATCGATGCCGGCTGGCGGAGAGACAGCCAGCCATGGTGGAGCTGGACGGGCGGCAAGTGGACATGTGCGCAACTCTACCAAGGCTCTAGCCGCAAGTTGATGCTGAAAGAGCTCTAGACTGGCGGGCAATTTGGCCCGTCGCAGACGAGACGATGGTCGCCCACGGCGGCGTGGCATCACGTGGTTTATCATGGCGGTGCAGCAACGCCATCTGTTACACAACAACTCAGGGGTGCAACAATGATGCCCAGGCCAATGCCTTTTCGTACACGTACCTTGATGAGAAGGCAAAGGCACTGGACTGTTCTCGCTTCCTAGTCGCCACGCACGCTCACCCAACTCCTCTGGCCGTGTACTAGAACAACGCATACTCCGCATGCACACAAATATTCATTAATTAGACCTCGTAAGGTGCGGCCCCATGCTCGAAAATAAGATGCGGCTTCCGCTTGGCCAGATCCAGTATCGTCACCGCAAAGACGCCGTTCGCCCACGCAAACCAGCTGCGCGTATACTGGCTGAGGTAGTTGACGTCGACACTCTCGTGCACCAGCCCGAGCTTGGCTGACTTGAGCACATAGTTCAGACACTCCTTGATCTCTTCATCCGAGTCGGACGTCTGTGCCTGGATCAACAGACTCATCGGCCACGCGTTTCGCAGCCCAATGTGCGGTCCTGTGCGTTTCAGTCAGCCTGACCCTCATAGTGATGCGAGCTCTGCCGCCGAATGCATTACCTCCGATTCCCTTGAAATCCTTGCCCTTCAGAAAATACGGGTTGCCAAGCTTGTCGAGCAGCATTTTCCTTGTGTTTTGATAGGTAGGGTCGTTGACATCGACAAAGCCCATGACAGGGAGAGCCAGGAGGGAGGGATAGTTTGCATCGTCCATTAGAATGGACGAACCGTATCCGTCAACCTCGTACGCAAACACGTCGCCGTACTTCTTGTGCTTCACCACACCATGCTCCATCACGCCGGCCCGCAACTTTTTACTCCATTTGCCGAGCTTCTCAGCGAGAGGGTCCTTCTTCGCCGCCTTCAGCAACTTGGAGGTACGGCCAAGCTCCACCGACATCATCGCATTGGCGGGAATGAAGAAGCCGAGAATGGTTGCATCGTCGCTGGGGCGAAACGCCGACCGGACAAGCCCTGTGCCACTGTTGAGCGGGTTGCCGACGCCTTGCAGGTTGAGCGTCTCAGTCCCCGTGTTGGTCGACCGCTGGAAGGTGTAGTCGTTTCTGCGGTAGCGCCCTGTCTCGGGGTCAAACGTGGGTTGCGACTGGTGCTCCAGAACCTCGAGCAACGTGTCGACGGCCAGAAACCAACGATCATTGAGGAAGTCGATCGAAGCGGTGTGGTCGTAAAAGTCGTTGGCGAGGGCCAAGAAGTGGGCGAGCGAGTCCAGCTCGTACTTGCACTCGAAGACGGCGCTGGGTTCGTACGCGGGGTGGACCACATCGTCCTGGCCGTTGGAGGTGATGGGCAGGTCGCTGATGGGCGGCGGCTGGAAGGCATTGCAGTACGGAGACTCGATGACGTACTCGGCCTGCGTATTGATGGCTCCTAGCAGCAGATCAAAAATGGCCGGGTCTTTTGTGGCAAGCGGCTGGTATGGCCGCAGCTGGTTTGTCGAGTCGCGCAGCCACTCAGCTATGATGTCGCCGGTGATGATGAAGGACTGCGGACCTTGCCAGGCACCCTCGTCTTGTGACGACCGGGAGCCGGCCATGCGGACAAACGCCGTGTCCTTGCCGTTCGTGTGGAACTTGACTGTCGTGTCCGTCGTGGACGGAAAGGCGTTCTCGAACAATCGCGCAAGATCCGGGTCCGCCATCCTCGACGTCACCTCCTTGATGACTCGCTCGATTTCGTCTGAGTGAAAGGTTCGACATCTCGGATCGGGTCGCTGGAAGGGAAGAGCGAGGGGCCCGGTGCTCAACGGGCGACTTGGTTCAGGTCGGGTCAGCGAAGGTCGGCATGGCATGCGATGCAGACCACGGACGACTCACTGCGGATACGCGGCATACGAGGCGTAGTTGGGACACGCCTTGCTGAGAGGCACCTGGTGCTGGCCATTTGCAGCGCTCGCAAGAGGCCATGTCGAGCAACCGATGCCCAGCAAGCTGGCAGCTAGCAGCCGCCGCCGGGAAGGCATCTGGAAGGATGGTGGAGGAGGAGCAAGTCCTTGTTTGCGGGGTTGTACGGATGGTATTGCGACTGGTGCGGATCAGATGGCTCGCGGCGCCGTACTATATTATATGGTCGTCTGCGAAGCTATTGTGGACGAAATGGCTCGAGTTGGCGATCCGGAAGCCCTCAAGCAGAGGCCATGTTGTTGTTGGTGGGAGGAGGGCGACCGCGACGTCACCTCATGGCATCCATCCATGGGCCAGTTGCATGGTCCACCCCACGGCGTTTCATCCCGTCCGAAGACCCCATTGAAATGGACCTGGATGGCAGCTCCAGCTCGCTACAGAGTGAGGTGCCTTGGCCTGGCACCGGGGGCGTGCGGGGACCCGCCAGACTCCCGAAAATTAGTGCCGTCCCTGCCTCCAGAGCTGCAGGTACCACGCCCCGCTCAAATGCCAGCTACGTCCCCGTACCTTTAGGCGCGTCGACTGAACTGGAATCATCCGGACATGGATCTCTCGCAAGACTTGTTAGCGAGCTCAGCGACAACCGAAGGTCACATACAGACCGGCTGGTTGTTACGTTTCCCAGACTTCATGGTGGACAAGCACATACGCCAGTCACTCAGAGACGGCACGGCCTCTAGCTCATCGTCGCAAAAAGGGTATCTTGATCAAATCCAATGCTGCGTCCAATATACACCCGTGTCGCGCCCGACGCCTGCTCACCAACCCCACGTCCGGCTCGACGCCGTAAACACAGGCGGCTTCCACTGTATCCTCAGCGGATCCAGCACCCGCTTCTGTTTCAGTCTCTGCTTCTCACGCTGCTTGATGAGCTTCTCGGGGATGACGATCTTGTGGTCGCTCTTGTGGTACACCTGCATCTTCATTGCTTGCAGCGTGTGCTCCACGTCCTGTGTCGTCATCGCCAGCGCAGTCGAGATTCCTTCAATCGTCACCTTGTCGTCTCGCTCGTTGTACCCCAGCAAGACGTCCAATATGTTCTCGGACCAGTACTGACGATAACTCAGCAGCCCCAGATCTGAGAGCGGCTTCTCTGGCGACCCCAGCTTGCCCTCAATCTTGGACAGCTCATACGAGAACTGAATGAGCAGTCTGCCAAACCCCTTGCGCTGGTACTGTGGCAACGTCAGGATACACGCCACGTTGTACCCGTCCGCGCTCTCTTTCTCCTTGGAGAAGTATCCCACAATGTGGCATCCTTTGTCGCTCCGCGTCGCCATGACGTAGAACAAGAACGGGTCCACGTCGTAGTAGAGTGTCTTGTGGTCAAGGAACATCTTTGACAGCAGGCAAAGGTTCCGACACCACGTCCTCTGTCGCCGGCCGTCGATTTCGAAGAAGGATACGTAATCGTCTCGGTAGATCTCGTTGCCTGGCGGGTGCAGCAGCGTGCACTTCTTCCGGTGTCGTGTGAACGCGTGTTCATCGCCGTAGTAGCTCAAGCAAAATTCGCATATGAAAATGACGTCTTCTTGGCCAAAGGCCTCGGGGTACGGCGAAAAGTACCAAGGGAACAGGTCGTTCTTCCCAAACTGCACCTTGGATATATTTCGGATGCGGGAGATCTCGGCCGGGTTCTGCGTCATGGATCCCGATGTCCGCAACTTTTCAATCTCATCTTCTCGGTTGAAGGCTCCCTCCTCCTTCTTGCTGTCTTCCTCCTTGTCATCAATGTCCATCTCGTCCGCCCCGGCGGGTGTCGCGCTCGCTTCAACGCTGGCTCGTGCCTGGGAATCGCCATCGAGTCCTACTGAAGAAGATTTTCGCTGGCCCTGCAGCTCAACGAATTCTACGCGTGTTGTCGCGCGTTAGCTTCATGGGATCGTATCTTCGGGTGAGGGAGCTCCAACGTACCTGACCACGGATGAGGGGTGGTCGCCTCCGACTGTACTGATTGCTCACGCTTTCCGGGGCGTTTCTGGGCCTTCTTGGAGACTTGCGCCTTCTTGGGCGCCGAAGGCGCCTTTTTGGACTTGCTTTCCTTCGACTTCTCCTTCTCGGGATTCGGCCATTCCACATCTTGGGTGAAGTCGATCCTCGCCACGGGGACCCACTCGTCCAGTCGCTTGTTGAAGTTGTCAAAGTTGCAGTAGAACTGCTTGCCGCTCTTTGTCTCCTTGATGCTGAGGATCTCGGCGCGCCGCGGCTGTCCTTCCTTTTCCACCCACGCGATACACCCAGTTTTGAGCGTTTCAGGAGTTGCCTTGCCCCGCAAACGGGGAGTATCAGACCCAACGGTCGGCTCGCCGCCGGGCGTGCCCGCAGCCATGATGAATAAAGCGCGTGCGCGGGCGTCTTTGATGGAAAATGGTTTGACTGACGTCTTCATGCGGGACGTTGAGCATCACCAGAGAAGGTGGCGGGGCGAAAGGCAGAAAAGGTCCTTATCGGTGGGCGGTAAAGGTTGTTATCAGGGCCCCGATAGTCGAATAACAGGCTGATATTTGCATGCAACCAGGCTACGCAGCAATGCCACTGAACCAGAAGCGCCAGCCCCACATTTGTCTTTCTCAGACTCTGTAACACCACGAACAAAAGGTCGATTGCCGCTTGCATAACCCAGCGGTCCAACAACTCCCCATCCCATGCTGGGAGCATCGGAGAGGGGCGGCTAAAGGCTGCCGTGCATTTCCCATAGACATGGCCGAACTCTCCTCCAACTGGAAAAAACTCCAGGCGCGGCTGAAAGCCGAAGGAACGACCAAGGCCCAAGGGAAGCGAAAGGTCACAGACCAAACAACACCTCACTCAAAAAGGTTGAAGATTTCGGAAACCACCAGACGCACAGCGAACCCGACCAGTCAAGCTCAGCATCGGAACCGCAACACAAAACCAACTATGGGCGGCGTGCACAGTTCCAGGGTGGAACCCGTCCCCCGACATGGGCCATCACCCTCTCTAGCGCTTTGGGCTGAGGATAACGACATATCTACGGAAGCTTTGGCAGAGGCGTACGAGCTGGGTGCCCAAAAGGACAACTCAATGATGCTGGCCTCCGCAAAAGACAAAGTGAACCACGGCCTCTCTGAAGGTGTCGACATCGGGAAATACGTCGCCATGGATTGCGAAATGGTCGGGGTTGGACCGGGCGGCCATGAATCATCACTGGCTCGTGTCAGTCTGGTGGATTTCCACGGACAGCAAGTTTACGACTCGTACGTAAAACAGAGGGAACGGGTCACAGACTGGAGGACAGCTGTGAGTGGGATTTCGCAGAAGGAAATGAGATTTGCGAGGGACTTTGACGAAGTTCAGCATGCGGTCTTCGGCATCATCAGAGACCGCGTCCTGATAGGGCATGACATCAAGCACGACTTGGAAGCCTTGAAATTAAGTCATCCCCCGAAAGATGTCCGGGACACAGCCAGGTACCACGGGTTCAAGAAGTACGGGCACGGCCGGAAACCGGCTCTAAGAACGCTTGCTCGAGAAATTCTAGCAGTCGAGATCCAAGAAGGGCCACATTCTAGCATCGAGGACGCCAGGGTCACCATGTTGCTGTTCAGGAAGCACAAACCCGGGTTCGACGTTGATCACGCCAACCGGTATGCGCCAAAGCCAGCAATGAACATCCACAAGGGTTCTAGCAGAAAGCCGAAAAAATCGAAGAGTCGCATTCCATGACCATGGCTGCGACGAGGGTTGCCGAGGCTACTCGCTTAGGCCCAACGGCGAAGAGAGTCGAATGTTGATCCACAAAGCTACAGCGGGATGCCTTCCATCAGCTCGAGAGCTCCCTCGCGGCCAACGGTTATGATTACGTCTCCCAAGGTCTTGGAGACGAAGCCAGCCTCGCAGTAGGTAAAGTAATACTAGCAAACGTCAGAAGCTGGTTCCTATCCTGCGTGGAGTCAAGCACTTACCTCCCACTTCCTGCGAAAGACCTCGACTCCGGCTTTCGTCAAATCCGGGTGCTCCTTGAGTAACGCAGGCTTAATCGCGTCGTTGAAGTTCTCCTGGAACTTCTCGTTCCAAAGCCTCAGCGTCCTGGCATAATGGCCGCCTATGTTTTCGATATTTTCGACGATCAGAGAGCCAGCGGACTGCTGGCTGATATGGTGGAGTAATTGGGTCGAGGATGGGAGATAACCACCCGGAAATATGTAATGATTGATGAAGCTAGACAATTCCCTCAGCAGTGCGCTCTTCCGGCGTGAAGCAGGCGATACTTACTCTTCCGACTTGGAATACACCTCGTGACGACTTTCGGGCATTGTAATGCACTGAAACATTGCAATGCCGCCGTCTTTTTTGAGCAGGCGGTCCACGCACTTGAAATACGTGGCGAGGTACTCTTGACCGACGGCTTCGAGCATTTCGATTGAAACGATCTTGTCGAACGGCTGCGGCGGGACTGGGAGCTCTCGATAATCCATCAGCTTGACTTCAATCCGGTCACAGAAGCCAGCTGCCGCGATTCGCTCTTCGGCGAGGGCCTTTTGCTCCTTTGAGAGCGTAAGACTCGTCACGCGGCACCCCGTCCGCCTGACCGCCTCGAGGGCAAACGAGCCCCAGCCGGTTCCTATCTCCAGGACGTGGTCGGTTGGCTTGATTTTGGCGCCATCGATGAAGCGGTTCAACTTTGTGATTTGCGCCTCCTCCAAGGACTCCTCACGAGGTTCTGTCCCAGAGGCTTGCTGCCAAATGGGGCATGAGTATGTCATGTCTGGGGACAAGAAAGCGGCAAACATGTCGTTGCTTATATCGTAATGTGCGGATATGTTGAGGAGAGCATTCGAAAGTGTGTTGGTGGAACGGGCCATTGTGGAGGCAATCGAGGAGAGGCTTGAGATCCAGGTCGTCCCGTTGTTCATGTGGTCCCGGTTGACGATGAAGAGCTTGGAAGTGTCAGCCGTCAGCTGCGTGCAGGAGCGTCAATGGGCGCTGGCATTGGGTCGTACACGAAAGAAGGACGTGAGGTCCTCACACTGGAAGTCGCCAAGCATGTATGCCTCGGCGAATCCCATGTCGGCAAAGAGAAAGAGCCTCATCCAGAAGGCATCGTTCTTGACGACGATCTCAACACGGGGAACGGAGGTGGCCCGGCGCGGCAAGCCGGTGGATAGCTCGACACCGCCAGGCTCACTGGACAGCCTCTGGCCAAACACATGGCGCGTCTCTCCGGGCTCATCGACGAGGAGCAATGTGCCGGTGTCGACTCGAGAGAGGAGAGCAAGAACAGCGGGCTTGGCCACCGCGAGGGCCGGAGCCCAGGTCCAGCCGCCGAGTGTTCCTCTAAGCGACTCAGCGCCACTGGAGAGCGAGCGCGAGACGCCGGCAGCAAAGGCCGGCATGACGGAAGTTTTGAAGGAGGGCATGGCTCAGGCCGACGAAAGGACGGCAACAGACGTCGACGCCGTGCAAGCCACGAAGACTGCAAGTATACGACCACGGCAGGGAGGCGCAAGATCAGGGCCTCGGAGCTACAACGACGACGGATGGCACGAACAGCGGTCAAGGCGGCTTTATTGCAACGGCGAATCGAGACGTCAGGGCCGGGATCCCCAGCAAGGTGTCACGGAGGGTTGGCTTGGTGTTACACGGGGGTGTGGTTCGATGCATTCGGCTGCAAGCACCTCGCACCCGGCGACATGCATCTTGGGTAGCCATCGATTACATGGTACTGATTAAGTGAACTAATGTACGCGCGGATCCAGTCTCGTTCAGCCGGAAGCGAATCCAAGGCCGGGAGAGGCGCCGGCGTGGCGGGAGCAGGTCGCGTACGGAGGGGGGGCGGCGGGCCATGTCGAAGACGCCCGTAGCAACAGTTTCAGCAGCAGCAGCAGCAGCAGCAACGGTTTGGTGGCAT